CAGCTGGCAGGAACACTTCGAAGGCGAAGCCTAGGCCTAAGCCCCCGGAGCCAGGCTTCAAGAGTCTAGAAGCTCCTAAAGGAGAGGCCAGGCCCCCCCCAAAAAAAAAGTGGACGAGTGGCCGGGAGGCCTGAGCATCACCACGAGGGCGCAAAGCTGCGGGCTGCCCGGCTTCCCGGCGCCTCGGCGGCGGAACAAGAGAGGAAGGTGCCGGAATCGGCCTAAGTCTAAGGAAGCCTAAGTAAGTGCCTCCTAAAAGTCTAGAAATAGACTGGATGGAAGCAGCACCGCACCCTGCCGAAATCGATGATACCAACACTACAGGAAAGCTTGTCCTGCGACTCAGTCATGACAGAGAGTGAAGTTGATGATAGATAGAAGGACTCATACTAAAGCTCGTCATATAGCCAGAGTCAAGCGGTCGAGTCGCTTTGGTAGTGATACCAATCATCAGCAACAAGATTGGGACCGTGATCTTAGAGCCCCTATAAACTTTAAACTCTGAACCCTACACGTAGTCGGAGCATCTCGAGATGAAACGCAAAGGGGGAAAAGTCGCCAGGTGAAGCTCGTGACCGGCTCGGAGGAGCTTCTCGGATGTTTGGGTTCTCGACAGCCTGAGAAGAAACGAGTTGAGGTGTTGAAAGGGGAGGAGGGTCCTTGAGGTGTCAATTCCTTCTGAGAGTCTTCGCGGAGGGGACCTGCCCATTGCTTCGGCCTTGTGCGTGATGTCCCAGACTGCGCAGAAGAAGTGTAGACAGAGGGACTTGTTTGTCTTTGCTTTGGCAGCCGATAGCAAGCCCAGGACCTTCGCAATTCAAGCCCAAATCTCAATCTCGGAGACCCCAGCCTCCCAGCCTTTACTTTTCAAATCCCAACAGTTCTACAAGGCTAGCTGCCGACGACTACGTGCAGTATCTGCGCGCCTACACAGCGCGCTTCGCGCTGGACGTCCGTTGCGGCGTTGAGGTGCTAGTAGGGGGCAAAAACGAGTGAGAAAGCCGCGGAACAACGAAAACCAAACAATGTACAAATGGGTTCAGATGCGGTGGTCGCTTGCTTGCGAAGTCTAGAGTAGCCCAAGATGGCTGCAGGTCACAGACATCGAGGACCAGTCAGGCAAGATTTTGTGGGGAATCTCAGGAAAACTCAGGCTTGGGAAAACGTTTGTGTCGGGGTCTCTGTGCGACTTCCATAAAGTGTTTGTTCTTTCGGTTGGTCTAGCTCAGCGTCAAGCTCCGTTCCTCCTGCTCCTTTTCGTGCCGCATGCTTTCTAAATTCGGGTCGGATCTGGTTGGGATGCTTTCATCGCACTCTTGGAGTTTCTTGTTGTGTGCTACGCTATGTTTCGTTCAAGCTTGCATCTTCAATGCCGGCATCGATACTTCCTGATCCGGGGAGGGTCAACTCAATGCAGCGATCCAGAAGCGGGTGCTGTTCTGGAGAAGGTCTGTTTTAGGCGATGGTTTCGTTGAACAAGGCAACGGAGATGTGCCCCCCCCCCCCCACCGATCCACCTAGCCACGGATCTTGGAAATGGAATGTGAGGCTTTTGTCCCAGTACCTTTTTGTCCTTCGGGCTCTAACGCGGTTCATGCGACGCATGTCAGGGGTTGTGTTCATGGTAGCGACGAAGCTCCAAGAATATTGTCGGGAGGCCAATGGTGCATCTTTACCTCCGAAGCCGATGGAGCTCAGGGGAGCCTTGGACCAAAAGTGGCGGAGTCTGAGAAACCGGTTCAGACAGATCGTCTTTACGGTGGCTGTGGCTGATTCTGAGCCCTAATTTGTGTAGTAGTCTTCACATCCGGCAGGCCTTAGAACTTTGAACTACAGTAAATTATAGTAACTCCGTTCTCGTGCGTTGTTCCTTGCTCTTTGGTTTGCTCAGTTGCGGGTCCTCTGACCTCTGGGCTCCCCAGAATTCCTGTAGGGAATTTGCTCGTGTGCCTCGACTTTGAAGTTGTTGGGTGTTGCGGCCTGCACGATGCCTTGGCCACATCATGAGATACCAGCATGTGCTGTGCATCTTCCAGCACTGCATCCGGTGCATGGGTTCACGGGGGTCTGGCGAGTGAGGCATTGCGGTCACTGAGGAAATGGTTTGCCACCGAGCTGGTCATTGCAACCGGCAAGTGTCTTGTCAAGTCACTATCACTACCATACCAATTCCCAAGCTTCATGTACTGAAGCGGTTTCGGAGTTGTTTGAGCGCAGGTGGAATTGTGCTCCCACAATCAAGCCGCATCCCGCTTCATCACTCCCGGATCAACGCCAACGGCAGAAATTGGCGCTGGATGTGTCATGCCGTTGCCTTGTCTAGCGGAGGAGCGTCGCACCCTCCCTGCCGGCGATTTGGTCAAGCGTGTCTGGGCCGTGTTACAGAAATGACAGCATAGATAGGGAACTGCATCCGTAATGTCTTCAACAACAGCCCACAGTGTAATTCATGAAGGAACTCCACATGGAGTGTGCTCATGTCGAGCAGTCTGGAAGCAGCTCCAAAAGCGACCCAGCCAGACGCCTGCGACAGCGAGCATCCCGTTCTCCGGAAAAGACAACGTCACAAGCCCCAATCCTGCATGCCAAACCGCGTGCGTGGAATGCTCAGCTCAGGAACAGGTTCAGCATCATCCCGCCATCATGCACTCTTCCCAGGCGAGTCAGGGGATAGAATTGATGAACATGAGCTTTCCAAACAAGCACAATCAAGCACACTAGCAGGTGGTTGAGTGGTAAATAAGCATGCCGAAAAGAACACAGCAGTTGAGAAGTTTAGCCGCGAAGCCCCATGTACCCGGTGGACGCAGGTGAAGGGCCCGGAATTGCAGAAAGCAGTGGCGGCCGCAGGGCAAGGCGAACTTCTCGCCACCCGCATGCATCGCCGGCTCGGTGCATAGCTTGCAAGGTTCCACTTGGTTGGGCCAAGGCCTTTGCATATCGCCTTGAGCCTTGAATTGTCGGGTGGGCTAGTCAACTAGCAACTAGTCGACACTCTTCGAAGAAGCCAAAGCTTCTGATCGGCGAAGCAATCGAAGCCTCCGCGCCGTGGAATTCTTGTCTCGTGTAGCACGCTCAGACTCAGAGGACTCGTCTCTGATCCCGTCCGGGCCTCCGGCTGAGGTGGTCGGTTTCGGAAATTCCGCGGCCGACCTCTGCAGCAAGATCCTTGCGCAAGTGCCAGGCGAGCAGTTCCCGACAGGCTTCTTTGCCACTTAGAATTAGCTCCACACCCTACACGGCCTCGTGCCCTGAAGGTGGCACGGTGCACGTCTCCTTGCGGCGCGTGCCTCCCATCATGCGCCGTCAGTGGGGCCCACTCCGCCTGGAATGGTCTCTTTGCCCGATTAAAGTGAATGGGGCACTGTAGGGTTCCACTTTCACTTCCATTTCTCAGCGATGCTGACGACCGACGGATCGTGGCTGCTTCATGCTTCTCAGTTCTCACAGCCCCGAGCTTGTTGCAGCCTCTCGTCAGGTTTGCTCGTCTTTTCTCTTACGCCTGCGATAAGAATGGGGATCGCCTCGCACAGCTGATGATGCATCTGATCGAGACTTCGGCAGATGTTGAGTGGCATTGGTCCTTTTGGCAGCTGAGATCTCCCTGTTTTTGCAGCCAAGGAGGGGGACATCCAACACCTGTTTCCCTCAGACCTTCCCAGATGGAAGGCACGTCAGGAGAGGCACATACCGACCATCGATCGGGACGGTTCTTTAGTCCGACAGCTTCGCGACGGCAGCATTCTGCCACATCGGGCCATCGAAGACCTGGAAGCCACAGACCGCAAAAAGCTTGGGATCCGATTTCGGGGAGAAGAACGACGGGACTTCTCTACCGTGGTTCTCTGCACTGGCTATCGGACGAGCCTGGAGTGCCAGGGAGGCTTGTCGCGAGACGCAGTGCGTGCGCGGGCCTTCTTCGTCGGCCTCGGCCCGGAACAGCGAGATCTTCTCCCGCTGCAGGGAATCGGGCGAGAGGCTCGGAAGGTCGCGGCGCAGGTCTCCGACATGCTGCGATTGAAGATGCGTCAAAGTGAAAGGGGCTGTACGGACCGGGACACTCCGGAGTCCTCGCCGGAACGAACGAAGGACAAGGACCTGTGAGCCATGTGCCATCTCAGACGACAGAGGTTCGTCTTAGAGTCTTCTTAGACAGCAGGATATGTGTTTTATTGAGACCTTCGAGACATGTGCCCAGTTGGGCGGCTGAAGAGGCTTTCTAGCTGTCGGCCCATGAAGTCTTTAAGCTGGTCCCAGTCCCAGTTTCGACGCCGGCGAAGCATTCAGAGTTCTATAGGATGTTCTATAGTAACATGGTCGCCAGGCACGAAACTGCTCCGAACTCGGAGGATCAGCACAGTTTTCGCACCCGCCATACCACCACCCGTACCCGGTACCCCCCCTTAAGAGGGCATTGCACTCTGCTCCCATTTTCGAGGCGGGGCCCCCGCGACAAAAAGCTTTCGCCCCCCGAAAAAAAGAGCGCAGGCTTGCCCTGCAAGGGCTCCCAGGCAGTGTCCAACCGTCCAACCCCGCAGCATGCAAATAGTTGTGCTTGATCTGTTGCGGCTCCGGAGTTTGCAGGGGTTTAGCAGCGCAGAAGAGCTTCCGAGAAGAATGCCCCAGGCCAAGGGCTGATCGCAAGCTCAGCGTGTAGCATGGACATCGTCAGGAAAGAAACCATCCAGCATTGTGATGCCAGTGAAGGAGAGAGAGTCTCATATACCAAGAGCACTACATAAGTTCCCACCGGCTTTCCGCTGCCACGACAAGGGTGGCAGCTGCTGCGGCTTCATGTTCACCATGGGCAGCCCGTTTCCTTTTCTACAACCGACCCTGACGGCTCGAAGTGTGCCGGCTGCACCCTTCCTCGCAGATTCGGGTGGAACTGTACCGGAGGCAGGGCTCCCGATGTACTGCAGCTCCAGTAAGTCAGGAGCTGCATGACTTAAACATTCCACACTCCTGAAGCTCAGATGCGTCGTTTTGAGGAGGAGGAGATGGAGGAAGAGTTGGAAGACCTGCCTGCAGCGGAGAAGGAGGCAGATCCCCTTCGTGATGCGAGGATCCGGCGTGAGGTAAAAGGCAAAGCCTTCACAGGATTCGTCGAAGACATTGAGCAAGGCAAGGTCACTCATGAAAGATGCTCAAGTTGCAGTCAAGTTGCCCTTGGCAGACAGCTCCTACTTTTACGCTTCTAGTCGAATACTTCTGGCTGTTTGCTTCTCACAAGCAATGGCTCTGTCCGTTCCTCTAAGGACTTTATCGAATCAAATATCAGGATGGCGACCTGGATCTCTGACATGCAATCAGCGCAGCATGCCACAGTAAAGGTAAAACTCTGTAAGATTCCGAGTCACGACACTGCACCACACTCTGACTCTCTTGTGCGGCTGCCGAGGAACACCTCACAGCCGAGCAGGTCAGGGAAGCGAGAGTCGATGACGACGAAGAGGATGAGATGCCACGCGCCAGCAGCCGTTTCGGGACCGATGACTACAGCGACTACGGCAACAGTGGCGGCTCCCTGTCAGATCCTGACCCGTGGCAGTTACGGAGCCATGAAGGCTACAAAGACTACGACAGCGAAAGTTTCTATGGCGGGCCGGAGCTTTCTGAAGAGGAGCAAACGCTGGGAGTTCGCCAGTTGCTAACCCGGTGGTATCGGCTTGCCACGTTTGTTGCAGTCCCGCGTCCAGCTAGTGTGTATGTGAATGTCAACATGTATGAGCGTGTATGCATACACTACGTCCGGGCGCATGTATCTGGGCGTAAGTACTTGTGTGTGTATATATATGTATAAATAAATATGTATGTATGTATATATATATATATATGTATATATATATATATAGATTACACAAACCTACATACATACATCCACGCATCCATGCCAGTTATCTACATACTTACGGACGTACCGTGCATATACATGCGTACATATGGGTGTGCGTGCATATGTATATATATATATATACACACATATATATAAGTAAATGGATGTACGTAAATGCACATTCCCGTCCTGTAGCTGCACGGATCAGGAGTTGCGCGACATGGCCGTTCGTCATGCAAGAGCTCTTCGACCCAAGAGTTCTACCGTTGCAGAGATGCTTGACGAGCTCTCGTTTGCTCGCTGGATCTTTCTGCGCAGCTGCCGTCTGCCTTTGGAGGCGCAGCACCTCATCCGCTCCTTCCTAGCAAGCCCGACAGCAGAGCTGGCCGGCCGGAAGATCCTGGCACTCCACGACGGCCATGAGCTTGTCTTCCACTCTGTGGCATGCTTGCCAGCTGGCAAGCTAATGTGCCAAGTGAGGCGCGGCTTTTGTGTCGACAAAGTTTGGTCTTTGGCAGACCACTGCACGAGCCTAAACTGTCCCGTATCCGAAGAAGCTCCGGTGGCGCTTGCCACCCGCGGGTGGTATGATGACTTCTGCCGGTGCGATGAGCCTCTTCACCCTCTACCCGCTGAATTCGCTGTACTTGTTCCAGGCGATGCGTCGCCTGCAGGATCCTTCTTTGACCTGATGGAGTCAGCCGAGGGCTGGTTCGACGACGTCGAGGTGTACGAAGAAGAAGGCAGCGGAGATGAAGAATGGCAAGCTCGCAGCCGAGGCAAGATTCCTCGTGACCCCGAACGTCATTTTCGACAGGGCGCCGCAAAACGGGCTTGCCCACCGACGCTGCCACTGGATATGCAGCTGCAATATGAGTTGGAGCGTCATTGTGACGACGAAGTCGGTCACAGCGATGACGAGCCTTGGAGCCACAGGATTCGCCGCCTTCTTCGCCAGGGTGCAAACCCGATGCTGGACGTCACGGAAGCGAGGTCACACAAGAAGCTATCGCCGCTGGAGAAGGCCAGGCATGCTTTTCTCAACCTGATTACGGTCGGTGCCAGTGCCAAAAAATCACAGTCACGATCTAAATCCCAACCGCAAAGCCAGAGCCCTTTCATTGAGAAGGTCCGGAACTCGAAAGCATCACTGCAAGCTCACCTGGACGACCTTCGCAGCGGCCGACTTTGCCGGCACCAGGTCCACTTCTTGGTGAGGCCTTGGCCTGCCGTTGCCCCGCTAGCCTCCTCAACACCGATCCCGGCATTCCAAGCCTAAGTTCTGCGCCAGTTGTTGACGTTGCTAAAAAACAGCGCAGGTATGCGGACAGCATCGAAGGCCTCGAGGAATACTTGGAAGAGTTCATGGATCAAATGGCATGCCTGGATGAAGTCCACGGGCTGCTCTCTGCCGCGGTCAAGGTCTGGGAGAGAGCTGCACCGGCGCCGTCCACGTTTTGTTCCAGTGATTGCTTGTGTGGCCGCAGCTGGGTTCACAGTGTTCATGAAGATTTTTTCCGGGTCCCAGGTTCATTTCCCACATTCATATGTTTTCAGGGAGGACATGTGGCCGAACCAAAGATTGCCCAGGTGGGGTCCTGCGTCCCGACAATGATGGCTTGCTTCAAGCAGTGGATGCCGCTCCAGACGTGATGCAGTCAGCAGATAAAGACTTGCGAGCTTTAGCAGAGAGGTTGTGGAGCTTGCAGCAGAGCTGGAAGGTACGGGCCCAGAGAACTGCATAAGACAAAGGCGAAATGAAAGCTACGGGACTCTGCTCGCAAAGCTGTTGTGTTGTTTTCTTCCGGATGCACCAACGCAGGCAGCACCTCGACAACTTTGCTGCCGCGAAGCAGAGGAGGAAGCTATGCAGAGGGAGAACCAGCGAGCCCAACAGCATCGAGCGACAGAACAAAAGCAGCGCGCCAAGGAGCAGCTGCAGAAGAGGCGCGCGGAACTTGCCGTGCTTGCCGAGGAGCAGCTGCGTCTGAGACGCCATGCATCCCAGGATGAAGACGGCACAGGCCCAAGATGCAACCAGTGCGGAGCGCACGGCGAGCACTTGTTCAGCAAAAATCAGCTACTGAAGAAAGGCTTGCGCAAACGCTGCAGGGAGTGCATCGAGGCTGAACAGCTGGGTGTGGCTGCGGTTCCCATGAAGAGGAAGCGCTTCGACGACGACATCATCTGAAGATGATGTGGGGGGAGCTGCCACACTCCCTCCTAATTATTTTTGTAGCACCAGTAGAGTGATTCAATTTCCGACTCTGACGAGGGCTTAGGGGAGTCCGATGCAGGGGAGCTGCAGAAAGACCTTTGCTTTGTCACTTCTGTCACGAAGCACGTTCTGCCGTTGGCCCCTGAGACGCCAAATCCCCAAAAGCCCAACACGAAGAGGATCTTGAACCCATTGCCATTCTACTGTAGCAGTTCGCAAGCAGGAACTGAGAAGGGTGCCAAGCCGATCGTCTGCATCTTTGAGTCGGCATTGGCTGCAGCTTGAAAGAACCCCGTGGACCATGCAGGACAGCCGAGCCACTCGCAACTTTAGCTCTCCTCGCCGAGTTTTCGAAAGTTACAAGAGGCATGCACCAGCCACACCAAAGTTCCACAACGATATAACGGCTGACGGCCGCTGCATGGCGCAAAGCCTCCTCCGGATTGATGGACAGGCCGGAGTGCGAATTCGTTGAGAAGCTATGAAAGGTTTGGGAAAGCTCTCTTGAGGTTCCGTGTAGGTTAGGCGTAGCACCTCGCTCAGTCCGACGAGCAGAGTGAGATCGGTTTCACACAGGTGGTAGCATTTTCTTGCGAGCTGAGTCTTTCGCGTTGGCCGGGCGCCGATTTGCTCGTCATGAGGCACGGCCAAGCACAATCGGACTTCCTGAGTGGGGCCATGGAGAAGCGCCACGACTTCATAGGCGCCGTCGCCCTTCGTCGTGCCAGTCGCAGCTTTTATGGGATGCTGTCACAAGCCGTGTACCACAAAGAAGCACCTCACGCAGCGTCTGAGTCCCGCCGTCGAAGGTGGTTTGGCCCAGGCTTGCCGAGATTTGATCCAAGTCCGCTCGAAGGCCGGAAAGAGAACCCAACCGCCGCAACGAAGCGACGAAGCGGCGCAGGTCAGAGCAAAGACCCCCTACAGGCCCTACAGTCCTCGCACCGATACCTAGAAGCCTTTGCTGCGAGTTCTGTGCCTCAAAATGCTGCTCGCCCCGGGGCAGGTGTCTCGTGTGGAGGCCTTCACCCAGGCCGCGATTCTGGGAAAAAATGCTTGTGCTGTAGTGCGACAAGGTTTCTGCGCCTGTCTGGCATGCGCCTTTGCCGCGCAGGTGGAACGAGCAGAACTGGTGGCAGCTTGCTCGCAGCAGCTCGACCGGCTCACACGGTCTCGCGAGGCCCACGCAGATCTCGCGAGTGGCGCCGAGTTGCCCGGTCTGCCTGCAACACCGATCCTGCTGCAGGGCAAGACTGCGGCGCGTTTGCATCGCGTCCGGGAAGTAGCCGAGGTGCCTTTGCAGTCAGCTGATGCTTTTACTGCTTTGGTAGTACAGCATTTGTGTTCAAATGTGCCGCGATAGCATAATGTGCGGTATTGCTGGACATGACCATTTACCCAGAATTGTCAGTAAATGGCATACGGACGAGTTATTGAAAGCGAATTCTTCAACGGGCACGAGGCGCGCGAACGCTTGAGGACGGCTGCTTGTGAGGCGGGCTGCCGCGCGAAGCTGCAGGACAGGCTGGATCGCCAAGATTTTGTTCTAGAGTGGTTGTGGCATTAGCCGGATATTCGTAGTATGGTTTGTGGGAGGTTTGAGCTCGAGGGAGGTAGGATCCTTATCCAGAGCGTCAAGAAGCAGGTGTTCAGGGGGATGTTATAGGCGTTTTACCTCGAGAATCCCTAGAAGGGCTGGGACTGTAAGTTTCCATGTCCGGCTTCTGCTCGCCAGTCGCCGGAAGAGGGGAACCCGTAGAAGAACAGCGACACAGTTGCGAGACTCAGATGAGGTGATGGCTTGTTTTGGGGGGCATCTTCACAGATTATCCTCCGAATCACGAGTCGGGGGCTGCAGATGCTCAAAGTCACGACCACCAATAGTCAAAAGTCCCCTTGAGAACGGCTGGACTTGTGCAGGACCAGGCAGGCGCCTTCGCAGTGGCATGGAAGGCCCCTTGAGTTTTGCTTTGGGATTCGTGGAAGTTTTGGCCTTGAAGTGCAAGCGTTCAAGCGCGATGGTCGAGACTGCAAGCTCACGATGTTGCAACGAGTCACACCTTCCACGGCGGGATCCTTTCCTTTGCTTCGCTTCGTGCCAGGCGAAGCAAGACTCGCAGCTCCGAGCCTTGCAGGCTGGGTCTTCCACGTTTCCTCTCCAGGGGTTGCTGTCTAGCTCTGCTTGGCAACACCCTCTACTCCCCAAGCCCTACACAGCCCCCAAGCTTCAAAGTCCTCTTGACTTGGTGTGGAGGAGAGGGCCCGACGATCCTGCCTCACCCTGGAGGCCAAAGGCCTAGACCAGGCAGCTATCCGCAAGGGTCGGAGTTCAAGAAGCAGACCAAGATGTTTCTGGGGTCCCTGCCAATGTACTCACTCACGGTATGAAAGTTGTCGTGCCAATTGGAACTTGAGTTCCAGGGTCGCTCTGACTTGAGCGCTCGCTTCACTCTGTCGATGCTGCTTCGAACTGTTCTTGAGATATTTTGGCGCGGACAGTGTCAACTTCAACATCCAAGAGCTTCGATTTGAAGGCAGACGATTCCACCTACCCCGCCCCCGAGAAAAGCCAAAGCTCGAACCAAACAAAGCTTGGCAGCAAGAGACACAGCCAAATCCCCAAATCCTGAGAACCCTGAAAACCGCCTTCGAAAAGAATCCCAACGCCCAAGCCCCTTCAACTCCAGCCTAGCAGAAGTCTTACAAAATCATATCCCGAAAGCCCCCCTGAAACCCAAGGGGCCCTGGCTAAGTCCCTCAGAGAAGGCGCGGCAGAAGCTCAGCGAAGCCATGGCAGAGGCCGAGCGCCAGGAGAGCAAATGACCCCCCCCCCTGTTTAACGAAGGCGCTAAGGGGTTCCTTGAAGGCTCCAGAAGAGGCCTTTGTCTATAGAACCGTATACTACCGATCCCTGCGACAATGCCTCTAAAGCAACCCTGAACCCTGATTATATGGATCCCAACCCTCCTAACCCTCATCGTAGCCGTTATCGCACCCTTCAGAGAATCCCTCCCCATCATAGCAACCTGGCAGTAACCCTTATAGGGCACCTGCAAATAACCCTAATCAAATACAAGGTCCGCATCTGCAATATGGCATACTTACTTACAGCACTGATAGCCGCAGTCCCTCATGTAGTATATTTCGAACGTCGTCTGTCATCATCATCACAAAAAGATAGTTGTACCTAACTGACGTGGGATCTATTCCAAGACCTGTTCCAACGATTAAGGCCCCTTGATTGGTTCGATGATCTGGTTTGTTCCGGGTTCTCGTAGGCTTCGCTAGTTTAACATCATGCGGCTTATGGCAGTCTGCACTAAGCTTTGGATTAGTTGAAGCCCCTTGCAGCGATCTGTAAAAGTAGTCAAGGGGAACCTTCTGAACTCCAAGTCACCGTCGGGAATGCCCTGAACGCTCTCCGTACTGGACCTTTACAGTGTCAGCATGATTGACATCTAAGTGCGTGTATCACGTTTGGCTTCCTGCGGACGTGACGTGCAAGGAGCAAGCCGATGCTGCTGAGAGATCCTGGCAGCAGGCCGGAGAAGTTTGGCTTTCCGACAAGAACAGAGACTCAAAAGCATTAGCCGTATTGCACTCCTAAACTCGAAAGCCTTCTTGCCCCACGCTCCGACTCTCCAGGCCCTGCGCGTGCGCCAAATCGCTATCATCCGCCCCCCCAAACTTCCACATCACCCAAGTTGAGCCTATTGGGCCTAGTCCCGTGCATTCAATGCTCGGAAAGCTCTGCATTCGATCGGGCTATGATCGCCGTCGCAGGGCATGGCGAGGATGCCCAGCGCAGTTCTGGAGGTTGGGGCCTTGACTCGGTCTGGGGCGTGGGGCTTTGGGTGCCGCATAGATATGTAGAGTGACGCCGCCAGTGCTTGAGTTGAGCAGGACGACTCCAGAGACACTACCGTCGTAACTCCATTACTTTGACAGGTTTCACTTGCACTTGCCATGACGGTGCTGCATCTTTCCTGAAGCGACTGTGCCGCGGACAAACACACATGCATGATATCAATATCATTAGTTAGTCCTGGTCTCAGCCTCTGCAGACCATTGCGGAGAGTGCTTCTTCCGTCATCGCTCTTGCTTTGGATGAGTATGACGACTGTGGTGGCAAAGAAGAATGCTGATCTTGATGTCGCTTGCCTTGGTGTTGTTGCTGTCCGTCTGGTGGGGTCATCCTCATCGTCGTCCCTGAAATTCGTCAAAGCTAGAAACCCGGAAGTGACACCAAGGAGACTTCGCGGACGAAGGCACAGGACGACCTCCGCGGCGCCGTGGAGGAGGCCGAGGTCCTGTGCAAACTGGAGGCCGGTCCGGTCGGTCCGGTTCTCTGCGCGGATCGGGATCGGGGGTCGCCTCCCCGCGGGAAAATCGCGAGCTTACAACATGTGGCCTTTGGGGGTTGGCAGTGGATGTTTTTCGCAGACACGGCCCGAAGAAGCCCCACATCCCGACACGGCGATTTCCCACGAGGCGGCCGCAGCGGATCGCGCGGAAGACGGGCCGAACGAGGCCGAGGAGGCCAACGGATTCCTTGGCTACCACGTTTTCTGGTGATGTTCCGGGTTGGGCGGGGGCCTGCTGCGATCAACCCAAACCCAAGCCAACCCCTCTCACAAAAGGCAGCTGTTGCCATGCCACCTCCGCCCCATGTCGTCACCGAGCGCCGTGAACCCTAAAGGCCGAGAGCCCTTGAGCACGGATTTCCTGAACTGAGCTGAAAGCTGAAACGGCTGAAACCGAAGTGCCTGGCCAGCAAGCTGGGAGGTCTTCACCACCATACTTCAACGCGCTTTGAAGGAGACTGGTGACTGGGTTTCCATTTCGGGGTCGTGTGGTACAGGATGCTCCAGCTGTGAAGATGGTCCGGTGAAGCTACCGTTCCCCAGGAGCAGCGGACCAAGGACCGGGCTGCGCACACGAGACACGAGTCACGCACGAGATGCTACACTCAGGCCATCGTGCGCCAAGGGCTCGAAGCAAAGCGTGACCAGCATGGCCTGAGTAGACAGCCTTGTGGTGACAGCTGACGTGTGAACCCCTGCCCGCATCCCAGATCTCTCGCGGCCTGCAGAAGCCCTTGCAGGATCTGGACGAGTTGGAGACGCCCTCGCAGGCCTGACTTCCCAGCCTTCCAGGTGGTCGAAGTCCTCGGCGAAAACAGCGCCGCGAGCGGTTAGAGGGCGGTGCGGAAGAAGAGTGCGTTGGGGGAAGTTCGCGGGAGCTTCGAGAGCTCTCGCCGAGCTCGCCGAGCTCGCAGGCCGCTCGGTCTTCACCTGGCGGCATGTGGGCTTCGCAGCCGGCTCAGTTCGCAGAGTCTGCCGTGGCATAGCTATAGGTGCTATAGGTGCTATAGGTATGGGTCCTCAGTTTTTTGCAGATTTGCCACATGAGCCTTGGGCTAAACAGGCGCTCGCCCCCGCCGCGTGAGTGCGTTCGCTTCCTCGAGGCTGGGACGAGACGCCGGCAGCCTGGGCCTCGGCGGAGGCTTGCTGTCGCCGTTGTGTCGTGCTGCATCAGGGGGTCTGTGGGGGGGGGCGGGGGGGGGGGGGGGGGGGGGGGGGAGCGGAAGTTGTTCTGGAATTGATCAAGTCACCAAGAACTGAGACTGAGAGTAGCAAGAAGCCGAGAAGCTGGTACAGCGAGCAATCATCATCGTTGTGTCAAAGTCCATCGCCAAACCCGTCGTGTCCCTGGTTGTCCCACGCATGGACCGTGTTCGTTTCAACCAAGGTCGCTTGGAGAATTGCTCCGAGGGCTGATCTCCGCTTTGCTGCCAAGATGAGCATTTGGGGCAGTTGGCCTCGGGTTTCCGGGCTGAAAGCTAAAAGAGTGAGAGTACTCGTAGCAATTTGACGCCTTCACGGTTTGAGATAGGGCCGTTCGTATGACTTGCCTTGAGCATCTGCAGAGATCATAGCTCAGCTTGGCAGAGAGGCATGACTATCTCGGCAAAGGCCGAGAGCCACACATTTCCAGACGTTGAAAACGATGGTCGGCCGCGTGCTGAAGCAGAGGCCTTCCCCTTGTGCCTGCGTAAAGTTCCACGCGCAAGGCATGCTTGCATGTGCCTGAAGAAGGGCAGACCCGTCGCGGAGGAAAGACCCTGGAGTGTGCGATGTGTGTTGGGTTCGGTTCGTGATGAAAGCCCCAGGTTTCCCGTTCAAGGCTTGAACCGCTGCATCAACATTAGCAACACCCAGAAAAGCCTAGTGCCAAGACAAGGGCAGAAGGTCTTGTACATCATACGTCCAGCTGTGCTTACCTGCAACCACCGGCATTGCCTTGCCGATACTGCCCAAGGGAGGAATTGTAGGCATGGCCTGGGAGTGAATGGCATGTAGACAACAGGACAAGCCGTTTTGTCCATCAGTGTTTTGGAGCTAGCCATAGATGCCCTTTCGGCAACTGTAGACGTTATAGCACATTACCATGCTTCTGCTACAGTTTATCATGTCGACCGCTGGAAGATGACCCGGTCGAATATCTGGGATATACGGGACATGCGATGCGGTCGCTTCCTCGGCGTTCCCGTCTTGCAGCGTCCTTGCCCCAACAATTGCGAACTTAATTTACGACTTCCTCCACCTAGGTCCGGTGATGACTGCGTGGGTTTCCCAGCTCCTGCGACATGCAGCCGCAGAACTCTTCTGACTTCGCAACGTCCACATCGCTACGACTGTCTCCGTTCCTCGCTCCCTCATCCCCGGAAGACGTGTTGAAAGTTTTGCCGTCCCCGCCTTGGCAGAGGCAGGGCAGCCCAAGTTCGTACATGGCGTGCCGAGGTCGCCAAGAAAGTCCATTGTGCCGCCGCCACCAATAGGCCTGGAATGGGGGGAAGCCCAGACCCAAGTTTTCCAGCCCAAGCCTATGCCCTGCCAGGCTCGCCGCGCCTTGCCCGAGGCAGCATCGCAACGAAGGACGCTGGAGGCGAGCCTCGCACTAACGGCGCATGAAAGCACCCAAGTGTCCAAGGCGCACAGGGTAGCGTCCTTTTCTAAAAAAGCAGTTACACCACAAAGAAGAAGCCTGTAAGTTGCAGCTAACTTTGGAGGTAGGCTCGATGTTAAGATGGTCCGAGCCAGATACTTCCCACAGTGATCGGGGTTTGGCGTCCACCCCTTTCCTGGGGAATCTTGCGCCCTAGGCCAGGCACGCTTGAAAGCTTCTTGGTGCATCCGATGCTTCTCGACTGACAGGTGCTCGACTCTCCGCTATCGGCCGAATGGCCCTGCGAGACAAGCCGCTGGGGTCTTACCGTACTGCCTTGGCATTTCGGAAGTGCGCTGGCCTTGAGAGTTCTGGCACCCCCCACATTGCAACAACAAAAACAGGAACCAGGAGCACCAATGCATGTACGTCCATGAAAGTATAGAAGAAGAACCATAAAATCCAATTGACAGCTGTTTAGCCCAAAGGAGCCAACAGCAGCACTCAGCTGCCCTCTACGGCCGCACCGGGCTTGTTTTCCTGCCGCGGACTAGTCCTTCAGTGAATCCCAGGCAGAGGCTCCCTGTAAGATCCTGATGTGCTTCTGGGGATGCTGCAGATATTTGTTCAGGCCCAACTCAATCCGTTTGCTTGCATTGGTTTGCTTCGGAAGTAGCTTCTTTGCACAGGGAGGAGCAGAACGGTTGAGAACGCTCATCATCTGCAAAGTGGAGAGGGTTTCGATCGTCGCCAAGACTGCCATCGAAGATCCAATTGGCCATTTTGTGCCAGGTGGTGGGCGGCTTTGGCCACGGTACGCAGAACAGGTCCCGGCGGGATATTCCCTGTTATAACGGGTGAACAGTCGCACATCATGTCTCTCGGCCTGAGTTTCCGAGCCCTCACAAAGCGAACTGAGGTGTGCGAGCGGCCGCCTCTGGCTCCTCGCAAGGACGGCTCCCACAACATTTTGCGTCGGCATGTAGGTGGAAGATGGGATGTTGATGGAGTTTGGGAGATTCGGGCAAGTTCGGTTCCACGGCCGGGCCTAGCCGGGCTTGCTGGCTTTGCCTGTGGGAACAGTTTGCAATGCGAGAGGAGGGCTCGCGCACCCTGGAAGCTTCTCCTTGCAGCCGACCGCAGAGCGCCCGAGGCGGTCCCGGGCCGTTTGGGAGAGGGGGCCTTGCAAGTCAAACTGGATCCTTAAACTGCAAAGAGGGGGCTCCACGGGGAGCTTGCGGGTTCAGACGCGTCCTACCAAACAGGCATCCCGGGCGCCACGACGCGCTCGACGTCGGCACCCAGGCCCTCGACGGCTCGACGGCTGAAGCGACGCTTCTCGGGGATTTGTCTTGGGACTCCTTTGCCCCGCAGGTGCCCCGCCGCGGGACAACGCGGCGCCTCGCTGCCCAGAGAAGGGCCGGCAACTCACCCAGGCGGGCCGTCGCTGCTCCCGTGGCTGGATCCGCATGCTTCAGGCCACGGGGCTCCCTCCCCAATTACATAGATGCGCGATGAGCCCAGCCCCCCCATTGAGCTCCGTGACCTCTGTGTTGGGATTAGGAAGGACCCCTGCCGTGGGCGGTTGCGGCTTACAGCTCGTATTTACAACGTGCCAGTAGGGTACTTTGCTCAGGGAGCCTCGGTCCCTCTGCCAGACCATTTCAAGATCAGCCTTCATTGGAAAGTGCTACTGTATGAAGTGCTGTCAGGCATTCTGCTGCCATTTTGCCAGCTCAAGTCCTGCAGATGTACATGCTGCACAAGACTCCCACGCACCTGGACCTGCTCTCTGTTTTCGCCCTGCATGTCAAAACTGAATCAAAACTGTCAAAGGGAAGCTGATTAAACTCTTTTTAATGAGAAGCGGGTTGCTTCCCCGAAGCCTTTCCAGGTCCCAGCGACCGTGGTCCGCCACAGAGGGCAGGTGGAAAGCGTAGTAGAACAGGGATCAGTTGTTTAGGCCCCGCACACACCCGACAGTACACTCAAGTCCCTCGCAGGCTTTGACGGCTTGTGCACAAGTGGAAATCAGTCGCAACCCCTTTCAGTTTTTGGATGTAGCAGTTGCAGCCTCTGGCGAACAGGCTCGGATCCTTGTTGATGCCAACTGCCCCGTCACAGCCCCCAGCATTCTGCCATTGTGTCGAATCTTTCCCAAACCGAACTCCATGAAAACCTGATGTCTCTTCGAACCAAGTTGCCCCGGAGCAACTCAGCCCTGGGCCCTGCCAGCTTCATCCCTCGACTGCTCGGCCTACGACGTGCGTGCCGGTGCCGCGGTCGCAACGGAGCAAATGCCCGGCTGGAGGAAGCTTCAGAGGGAATCAATCTCACACTTCAGCCGAGGCCGCTTTTGCAGTCGTAAGAGATTCCATGAACAGCTGAAGGCCGTGCCGGCCACAGGTCCAGCCCCAAATCCATCACAACAACCATGAGCGTGCTGTGTTGTGACCACGTCCCACCGCCATGCATCGCAAGGTATCCCGCCGATGCAAGGCAGCGTTCTCAGCGGATCGCCTCTTGAGACAAGGAAAGCTTTGTGGGATCTGTCTTCGACCTCCCTCCCTCCTTTCCCCCTTGCTGATGTCACTGATGGCCATTTGTGTGCAAAAGCGGAGGTTCCTCTGACTCTAATGTGCACACAAAGGTATGCATGCGTTTATTACATTCGCAATGCACGATGGCATACGATTGCAGAGTTTTTGATTGAGCCTAAATCCCTTGTAGATCCGATGGCACGATGCAGGGCGTTCTCTGGTACAGGGGCACACGGGATTGATGCGTGTATCGGGGTTTCCCGCCTGGACTGTCTGCCCCGAAGGTCGCGCGGCCATCGCGAGAAACATCCTCGGCCCAGGCGCAAGGGCTCCGGCTCGAGGACTCCGAAGGACTCAAGGATTTCTCGGCTCGAGCCCTTGTCGCCAGGCGGCGCCACGGCCCTGCAAGAAGATCTGGGCTACAAGAGGACCGAAATCCATGCCCGGGACCGAGAGACCATGCTTTGCGAGTTGCCCAGTGCCCAGAGGTACAAAGGGAGACTTGCCACCTGGGCTTGTCGTCATCACTGTAGTAGGCGGTTAAGATGTTTCTAGGGCATGGCATAGAAGGGGCTTTCTGCTTTCTGTTTCACGGACAACTTGTTCCAGGTGTTCACAGTCACGGAGGCCGCGACTGCGGAGTGATGAGATTGTAAGTCCTGGCCCACGTGTTCAGCCACGAAACAGTGCATGCCAATCGACCAGTTCATCCGGCGCGTGCCCCCCCGTTTCCGAGCCCCTCTCCTCTCAACCTTTCAAAAGACACCAGGTTCCGCCTGGCCACTCGCTGGCGCAGACGGCCGAGGGCCGAGAACATCGACCCCCGCCCCCCCCCCCACTTATTTGTAGGGTAGGGTTAGGGCAGGGACTTCGGGTGTCTTTGGACTTTCGCCAGTTGCAGAGCACCGGATTTCTGGTTGGATGCTTCAGCCTAAACTCCGGTGCGGAAGCCTGGACCCGATTTCTTCTGCCCAGCCCCTGGACTTGGAAGGTGGAAGCGGTTTAGTCCCTGTTTCCCCGCCGTGGCGGCTCCAAAGGCTAGGGCTCGGATTGACGTCTCTCACCCCACAGCATCCGTAGGGGATGCCGATGCAGGGCAGCCGTGCAATGTCTACTCTCGAAGGTCCAGTGCCGGAACTTCACCGAATCGAAGCAACCCCGTCCCCAACAAATAATGTACTGGTAGCTGCCCGATCTGCGAGGGTTCTGCACTACCACGAGGAAGCTTCAGGTGTCCGAGACAGGTCTCGTCGCATTGTTGCAACTCTTGGATTACATGCACAAGGGGCGGATGCTGAGTGTGCCACTGAAGTCTCTTGCCTACGGCTGTGAGTCCCTACCATGTCGGCTTTCACATGCTGGAGATACTAGCACCGGTCTCGAACCCTCCCTTTAGACTTGGCCTTATAGCTCGCACACCTTGAGAGACCCTGAGGTGGAGAACCTCCTCCAGGGCCTGGCCCAGGCCTCTCCGGACGGCGAGGGGCCCAGAACTCCTCGAGCTCGGAGATCTGACGGCTCAAGACCTTTGGGAGAATTCTGGGCTTCAGCGGCCCAGGTCTGCATCGGAAGCCGTCCGTGCAAGGCCGGGTGGGGAGGGTCTTTGCCTGCAAGAGACAAGTCCTAGGTCAATCACGTGTGTTTAGTTTTGCTTTCTCATGCATGTGGGCAACAAAACGTAGCAAGAAAAGTAGGAGGAGTCGTTGTCATCGATTGGCGAAGTCGGTACCATCACCACAGCAGGCTGGCGTTGCTGAAAGCAATCCATCTTCGAAGCCCCCTGTAAGATGATAATTATCCTGAAAGCGTACACAAAGAGAGAGCCCCGTGGCGTGGCGGCGGAGAGCTCTGCTGCAACGTTAAACCGGGGGGAGGAGGCACTCGGTCGGAGGGGGTCGTCGGCTGTGCACCTCGGGGCAGTCGGGTCTCGGGGACGAATTAAACACCGTTGGGGGCTCGGGCTTCTACAAAGTAGCGCTAAGCTCCAAAGTCAGGCTTGGCCTTGGGGTAGGAAGGTGCCTGTGCTGCGAGGATCTTTGAGCCGCAGCAGAATGTGGCGGGGCACGTTCGACTGGGCGTTCCTTGCCGGGCAGGTTCCCTCCAGCGGGATTATAGCGTGCCGACCATGGTCGACGAAGTCGCAAGGGCCTCGATAGAACACCAAACTCAAACCCTGCAAGCCCTGCACGGCCCTAAACGGCATAAGCATTCTCGGTCTCCTGTCCCTCGGCCTCGGCCCGTCCCTCAGGTGCTCTACTCCGAGCCGGAAGACGACGACGCGCGACCAGGCCAAGCTTGAAAGCCCTTCATTGAAGCAGAGGGCTTTTCAGTCACTTTTCCGCTTTCATCTCCCTTCCGGGGCTGCCTGCCCATGAGGCCTCGGCTCCGTCCAGCCGCGGGGGCGCGCGGAGGCGGCTCTGAGACGTCTATAGGAGAAGAGGCCAAGTCCGCCGTAGCGTGTAGCAGCGGCCCGCGGCGCGAGGGCCCAGGCAGGCTCATGCTGAAGTCTAACACGATCCCAATGCTGCAGGTCATGCAGCAGTGGCTTCGCCCAGATTCCATTCAGGCACATGGGAGATGCAACGGCAGCATTGCAGAAGTTTCCAGCAGGCTACCCCTACTCCTTGTCCCAATGTGAGGTCGCAGGAAAAGAGGGCCAGCTTCGTTGAATACCCCATCAAACATCCCCTGAACCCGAGATCCCCTCGCACTTCCGCACTTCAACGTGGCCTGTGCTCTGGGCGCAGAGAGGCCGTGCGCTGTCGCGGCGAGCGCCGAGCCGAGGAGCGAAGGAGCGAAGCGCCCAGGCGCGCCCAGCCGCCAGCACCGAACACCCAGCACCGAGAGCACCGAGCAGCCGATTGGAAGTGAGAAGACAGAAATCTCCTCTGTTCTGTTCTGTTCTGTTCTGTTCTGTTGTGCGGGTGTGTGTGCACGTAAAAGGTGCTGTTTGCTGTGCGTGCCTAGCCGCAAGTACACGGTGTAGACCGAACGCTCCAGGCAGAAGCCCCTGGCGCTCCGCGGTGCTGCCCAGGCCGTGCTCCAGCTCGGAGTCGTTGGAAGTTAATGCAGAAGATATGTCGTCTTTACAGTGCGTCCTGAATGATACACAAGGAGCGAAAGAAGCAAATATTAATGTTGGGCCTTCTCGAAGTCAGGATAACGAGGGCCTCTCTCCTTCTCCTGACAAAGGCACCCGAGGCGGCCGCAGAGCTGGACTGGGGCTCTTTGCTGGGGGCCCTGTCCTTCAGGATTGTTCGAAGAGTTGGGCCTGCTTGTGGGATCCTGACCTAGGGAGGGTGGCAAGGTGTTCCAGATTGTCTCACGTCAGGATGTGTATGCATTGGTGCTCTCTGCTTCGGTTCACCTGTGCAGCCTCTGAGGTCAGACAACTCGCGCCAGGCAATCAAGCAATGGGTGACAGGCTGGGGAGGGAGCCTGGAGAAGTCAGGGCTGCAATCGGTTCTGGGTGGAAACATGCTAGCGTTTCTTGACTGAAGCCAAAATTGCTCACGAAAGGCCAGCTGGGAGGCCGGCATTGCATGCTGGTTTTGGAGCAAGGCCCGCCGGTGCTCGGTTCTACATCTGCTACACTGACACTAGTACGTGCTTTTGCTAGCAGTCTGACCAGGTCTTAGAAGATTTTCGTTTGTTCACCTGGTTCAGGCTCGTTTCTTTAATTCGTTTCTTTAATATATGGACGGCAAAGCCTTCATTATTACAAGAAGCCTGTATGAGATGCCAAATCAAAACACCAGGTTGCGCAGAGACGCTGCTGCTTCCATCGGCATCAGAGATGCTCGCTACGTCCGAGACTTATGCGGCATGCGGATTGATAGGATCCCGAAACACTGTCTATCACGGCATGCTGCTAGCCCGCTACACGTTCGAGGCTGTGGGGATCCTGGTTTCGTCCGCGGGCGCTGCTCAGGTCCGATCTCCGGGGAGGTGCGGTGCTGAACGTGCTCTCGGGACTCTTCGCCGAGGCGCGAAGGGTGCAGAGCTTCTCTTTTGAAGAGGAATCCCTTGAGGGGAGGGTGCGGGCGTGTAAAGACAACAGGAGTGAATCAGCGTTTGCAGAAACCGGTTTTCTCAGGGCGGCCTGCTGAACCCCAGCTCCGGCAGCGGCCTCTTCCAGGCGACGAAGCTTCCGATGTTGATGCCCCTCGTTCTTCGGAGCTCCTTTGCCAGCTCCGAAAAGCCCAATAGTGCTCACCGCTGAAGCCAACAAGCACCAGCCCGAGCCGCTTGGTCCTCGTCCTCTCTGCAGGCCGTCTTCTCCAAGCATCCCCTGCAGGCCGGGAGCGGGTCCCGCAAATCCCCCGACTCCTCGTCCTCAGCTCTGACTCTGGTTCGGATTCCAGGTCCTCGAAGAGGCGCTGGAGCAGTGCCTGCTGGAAATCAGCTGCGGCCTTGCCAGGACATGCCTCCTCCCATGTCCTCCATCACGGTCACACTTCTTTCCTCATCTTTCGGAGAGCTGCCGAGGCGACCCGCGAGTGGAGCGGGTGGCGGACCTCTCACCGGACCAGGCGAGCTGTCGCGCAGACGCAGACGTCTCTGCTGGGAGCTCTCGTTCGGAAGCTTTTGCATGGCAAGAGGAAGCAGCTGCAAAGAGTTGCCGATCATTCGAACTGGGAGGGCTCTGAGGTCTCTGTGGGGTGTCGGTGCACCGCTTTTCGTGGCCCACGCCGACCGCTGTAGACCATCTGCATAGAATTCTTTGGCTCCACCTCCGCGCCTTGGTTGCAGGTGAACCTCGCCTTGAAGCAAATGTCGATGAAGGCGGCCGCCCCAGCGACCCGGGGTACAGCACTTCGCCGAGATCGGCTTTTCACCAGGGAGCATCATCGTTCTGAGTTTAGGGCTCGCTTATTGTCTAGCAAGCTTCCAGCAACCTTCCCAAGTCAGGTTTGTTGTTGTTACTGCGCTTCTGCAACCGCTTCCCCTGAAGGCTCAATTCGCCAGCTGCACGGCACCAGGCCAGTTGGGGCATACTTTGGTACACCATAGGACTCCGAGAGCACAACAAGATTCCCTCACCTCCCTCGCCCGATTGTAGGTGTCTCGGCCTTTGTTTTATCCTGTGGATCGATTTGCCTACAGATGGCATATAGTGAGGTGAAGGAGGAAATGGCACAGTTCGGATTTTTGCTCAAGGCAAAGCCATGCCCTTGAATATCACGTTTGCTCAAGCTCCTTTCTAAATGCGGAGCACGAATGAGCAGGTGCGGATGCGGCTGCGCTCTCCGCTTCCAGCGACGAATGCACTAAAGTGCAGGCTCCCGTGCATGATTGCAGAACGCCTTCGTGCCCATCCCAATCCCAGCCGTCCCCTGCTCAGACTCTGGATTCATTCCATCCTCGGAGCCTAAATGTCAACTGAATTCAGGTGGGTGCATTTCTCTTCAAGCCGCAAGTTGCCCAGCAAGCTCTTGGACCCAAGGTCTTCAGGGGCTGCAGAAGGAAAGCCTCAGCGCAACACTGCCATAGCGAGCAAAGGGCTGTACAAAATCCTTCGAACTCCAGCTCTACAGCACAAATCTGCCAGAGTCTAGCTGCTAGAGTTTCGCGGAAAACACCCACAGCACCGAAGTCAAACCGAGTAACACCTGAACCCTAGCCTGAGCTTGCATGCCTTTAGCCCAAAACCAGATCCGCAGATCCTCCGAAACCATTGCGCCGGACTACGTCAACCACGCGGTTAGCCCCATTGTGTGTTGTTTTTCTGTTTGAAGTCTTCAATGGCGCTATGGCCGCCTCTACGCTCCTCGGCCCCGCCGACTCTGCCCTAGCCTCAGCATCATGGCACGCACGCTTGCCTTGCCGCTTGCCGCTTGCCAGTGTCAGAGGCTTTGACTTGCCTTGTCGCTTGTCGTCATGGCCTGTGCTTGGCAGAACTGCACAAGTTCGTTAGATGGATATGTTTCAGATCGGGGTCTCCCCATTTGTTTGGGGAAGTGGCTCTCCTGGACACGCCCTGCGTCCCTGCACGCTCAGGCAACCAAAGGCGAGGCGGCGGCGCCTGCTTGCGGTCGCGCCCGGGTGCCCCGGCACGGGAACCTCTCGGTCTTTTGAGTGCTGCCTACTTTTGATCATCCCCGTAAATCCCTGAATTGATTTCGAAGGCCTGACGTGCCAGTGCCCCCCAAGCCCACGGAGTGCTTTGGTGCCAGGCCCTGGCCGTGCTCCACGAGGCTCTCAGTGCCCAGGCGGGACTCAAAGCGGGAGGGGCAGAAGAGGACCCAGCAGAGCCGGAGAAACTCGAAAGCCACGAGGAAGAAGCTGCAAAGCACTCCTCGAGAGAGAGTTTCCGGCAGGCGCCTGCTGCTGGCACCGGCCAAAGCCTCGAGTTGTCTTCGCTTAGACAGGGCTCGACGGGCTTCGGATTGTTCCCCAACATCTGGGAAACCTGCTCTGCCCTCTGAGGCCACCCCTGGGTCAGCGAGTTCCTGGCCTGGCAGCTGGAGGATGCGCTCTCCGAGGCGGACGCACTTCCCCGCGCCGGTGGCGGAAATCGTGTGATTTTGGGCCCTGAAAAACCAAAGTCAGCTGGGCGAATAAGATACCGTGTTTCCAGTGGCGACTCAGTTGCTGTGCAGCGATGCCGTCATCGTTTGCGCCTTGTGCAGGAAGTCAAGCTCACAGGCGTCGCTGGCGCAAGGGAGGGCGAGTCGGTAATACCGGATCTTTTGTGGTCCTCGTTGCTCTGTGCGCATCCAAAATCAGATCAAAAAGCTGGTTAGCTCCCTTGGCATGTCTTCCTGATGTACACTAACGTCAGCTCTGAGACCTTCTTGCCTCCAAGTCTGGTTTCTACCTCACCTTCTGAGGACCTGGGATCCCTGTGCAGAGCGGCAAAGACATCGCCCGGACCTCGCCAAAGCACGTTTACTTGCCTGCGAGTTTCTCGCTCTTCGCAGCCCCAACCACGTTCACAGCCATCGAATCTACGGAGGCTTCCGAGCTGCTGAGGCCTCGCCCGAGCAGCGCAGCTACCGTCCCAGGGCTCAGAGCTGCCAGGGGCAAGAAGGTTTTTGTTTAAAGGGGTTTGTTGGAGGGCTTAGGACTGTCTGTAACGAAATGGGAGCCGTTTTGCTGGTTAGCAGGCTTGTTCCAGGTAGCTGTCGATCAGAGCTCAGGGCATCGGTGTGGCCAACTGACAGTATTTGGCCTTGGGCTTCTTTTTGAGAGGGCTGGGGGAGCAAGTCCCGGCGAGTTTAGGCCCTCAGGCCTCAGCTGCAGGTTTTGAGACGGAGGGAGTGTGGGGGAGTGAGTGCTTGGGTGATTGTGCTAGCAAGACTGGTGCCATCATGATCTTCATGCAAGTTGCCTCCTTACGACCTAATCAATATGGGAGCGTTTAGCTGTTGGCCTGCGTCCAGGTGCCCGCCTCCGACGTCTGCTTCAGGGCCTCCGGCTGGAGGAGCTGCCCTCCCACGTTGGAGACTCCAAGGCTCTTTACTTGGAGCTTCGAGCACAGGCAAACCGGCCCCTGGTGGCGAAGCTCTTCGAAGGCAAGCGGGCGCCCAAGTCCAAGCCGGACAGAGACGAAGCCGCTCTCGCGCCTTTTTCTCGCCGAGGCTCAGCCCGCAGGATTTCCTCTCTGCGGAAGAGGGAGGGGTCGGGGGCCCGGTCTCTCGGCCGCCGCGTCGCTTGCAAGAAGCCCTGGCCCCCTTGGCCTTCGCCTCGCCGCCCAGGCGCTCCTCCCTGCCGAGATGCGGGAGCGCCGCAGGCAGCTTGAGGACAGATCTCGGCAGCTGGCAGGCTGGTAGGCTGGTAGGCCGGCAGGGCAGAAGAAACAGCCAGGAGAAAGCTGCGGAGCGCGCCGCTGCCGAGGCCGGTTGTGCTCAGACGCGGCTTCTTTCTCTTGCTCAGAGTTGAGACGCGACACGAACCCTGCTGGGGAGTCGAGGGTTGACCATGCGCTTCGGGTTCCAGGCATGGTTTCAGGGTTCAGCTTCGCGAATTGCGCCTCACTTCACCAGTGCATGCCCATAAATCTCAACTGCTTGAAAACTTCTCTGTTGTAGCCTGCTTTAGTCAGTCTCGATGCACCGGTGGGCTCTGTGTGCTGAGGCTCGTGCTGTTCGGGCAGCAAGTGCCCTGCCTTTCTTCAGCGAGAAGATTCAATGCCAGGCCTCAAACCCCTGTGTAAGCAAACAACGAACCGCCGGCATAGGGAGACTATACAGATTCGGTTTCCGCCCTTTGCTGCCAATCCAAACTCGGGACCTCTCACGGCGAGTGGATTACACATGTCTCGATCTGCATACCCGCAACAGCATCATGCAAGTGCAAGTTTGCCATACATGCGTCCCAACTTCGAGCTGGACCCCAAGACATGGAGATAAGAGAATCGCTCCGTCAAGCACAGCCGCACAGCCGACCAGGGCTGCAGCAACTGGGGCGTGCGCTACGACCGCATCCCCCATGCTTGCTGCCCAGCTCATGCTGGCATCTTTGCGACTCTTAGATTCTCGAGCTCCGCTTTGCTGTTGTCCCACCAGTAACACTCGGATGCCTGGGTTCCTGATATTTCAACGCGTGGCGGCAAAGCACGAAGTTCGGTTCGATGGGTTCGGGAAGTGAGGCCAGCTCGACAGGGTTAACTGAAGGCTTGTTAGCACCGACGTTACCCTACCCAAACCACCTCGAGACCGTGAGATCCAAGAGCCTGACCTGCAAGTTCCGGAAGCTCCGATCGACTTTGATGCATATTGGCAGAGGAGCATCCCCAGATCACCCATGCCTTGAGGCCTTAAGCCAGGGGCGCCCAAAAAATCCACGTAAACCAAAGAGTCCAAGTTTTGAGCAGCTGAAAGGTCGGCGGACACCACAAGCTGGGCAAGACTGCAGGGCTGGGCGGCACGGACTACGTCGGCCTCTCGGGCGTTCCAGTGCCAGTGCTGGGCTCCTCTCGTTCTGATCTGTTCATGTGCCATAGAGAGGACGATTAATGCAGGGCTGGTTCAACATAGCCGGAGTTGAAAGCTTCGAAGGCTGTTAGATCTGTTAGAATCGCACCCGCCCAACTCCATTTCATGTGGCACCCACTCCAGGCTCGCCTGGTCGTGCAGTGCGAGAAGTGCGGCCTGAGCTGGCGGACCGACGAGCCGCCCTGAAGGGATCAGTCATTCAAGCGATTCCCGCGACCTGTAACATAACGTAGCGTAATGTAATGTGTGGTGTTGTCATGAGTTCTGTTGCATTGAACTCTATTGGATTGTGCCTGCATGATCACAAGTACTTGCGACGTTGGTGCAGAGTGTACCCGGCCGCTGCTGCGCATGTCCAAAACGGACCTGTTTGCCGTGTCTGGAGCATCCAGCCTCCAAGTCCGGTGCAAAAGAGAGGTCCACATTTGCTCAGCTTCTCTTCGCCCTATTCTGAGCACACCCCCCACCCCTCCAGCCAGGAAGACTTCTGTTCTTTCCTCCCTGTTTGGCAGGTGTGGACCGAGCTGGCACGGCTCCACGTAGAGGGATGGCCCTCGCCAGCCCACGCGGGTCGTGCCCACAGCACTCACCACATCACCACCTCGAGTCACTCGAGTCGAGGGCTTTTCTCGGCTGTGCCGAGGCCCCGTCCCAGCGCCGGCAACATCGAAGGCCGGGCTCCAAATCTTAGCGGTCATGAAGGAAGGCGGAAGCGAGGTCGCCGAGTGTCTCGACAGGAGCGGCCGGCCGTGCCCGGCCCCAAACCGAACTCCGAGAAGGCCGAGCGGGTAAAGGTCCCGTTCCAGTGGGAAACGAATGGTGGCCACTTGGCCACGGCGCAACACTGTAGGAGGGAAAAACCAGGTGTCAGGAATTGCATGTTTCCCTGTTCGCACAGAACTATTCGCGCAGGGTAGTTGCACGAAGTGCGAAACTCTTTCAGGGCGCCTCTTTGAAGCAATGAGCTGTCCAAGAATTTAGCATGCTTGCTCCGAACTGTCGCGACCAGCTACAGCTGACCTTTGGCAGGTTTTCGGTGATGGCGGAGTTCTTAAAGAGCCCGCAGCTCAAGCACCATTTTGTTGCTGGGTGTTAGGCAGGGCGATCCATGGGGATTTTCTATTATTTTGGAGAGACACAGTTCGCAGGCTCCTTCTAATGTTCAGTCAAATCGACAAAGTAAAGATGCTGCCGCCGCAAAGCGGCTGGCGCGCACATGGAAGCCGCCAAACCCTGTGGATCAGAAGAGCGTGAACGGCCACATTAGTTTTGTCCACGGACGCAGGTTGTGCGGCCTTCTAGCCGTTGTCGGCCCTGTAGGTCCCCTCTCAGCTTCGCCGTCCCAAGCCACGTCTGCCAAGGCTTGGAAAAGAGGAAGTGGAGCTCGAGGCACCGTCGGGCCGTCGGGTAGCGGAAGGAGGGGATGATCGCAGTTCGTGGAGCATCTTCGGTGCCGTTGGCGTGGGGACCGTCTTTTCCCGGGCCAGGCTGAGTCGCAGCAGATGTCGCTAGAGACCCTGCGTGCCCAGAATCGGCTCATCGAGGAGCCCGGAGCCCCAGAGAAACTGAAACACGCAGAAAGAACTCCAAGACTCTCTCAGACTCTCTCAGACTCTTCTTGGGGAATTGTCTGGCCTTGCCCACACACGCCTGAGGTACGTGATGCGTCTCGTGCGGCAGCGCGACGAGCTCAAGCAGGTCACGAAGATGGCGGAGGCGCGGGCGCCGCCGTGGCAGCGCCTCTGTGGCCTCGGCCGTTTTTGGGGGCCCCCGTTCTGCGAGGAGCGCGACTCCTACCACATCCTTGGGCTCCACGGCCCCTCTTGCAGCGAGGACGAGGCGCTCGGGCGAGGCTAAAACAAAGCGGGGGTTCTTAGGAAGCTGCCTCGGGCGTCGGGGCTTCTCACGATGCTGGCAGCGGGAAGCCCTCCGTCATTGGAGAGACCTTTCGCTTCCTCATTCCGTCTGAGGTGAAAAAGGCCTATCGGAACCTGGCACGCAAGGAGCACCCGGACAAGGCAAACTAGATGGCTTGGGCGGGTTTCTGTTTTGCCGCTTCGAGGGGATCTGGGTTCGTACGGCTTGGGACTTCTCAGCTTCCTCAGGCGGCTCACGCCCCCCCCCTCTGGGTCCCCACTGGCTGCCAAGCCTTGCGATTTGCAGTTGCAGCCTGTTTTTGTGGTGCGGATGCCGTGAGAGACCCGGAAGGCCGGCATCGGGAACAAGCGGCGCTTCCAGGCCAGAAAGTCTCGCGCGAAGCGCGAGAGTCATGACATGACTCGTAGACGCATCCTCCGATGGAGGGTGGTTCTTGTGTTTTCGGATTCTTCCGCCTGGAGTTGCAAGGTTCAATCTGTAGAGGGATGGTTTCGTTTGGAGCTCTTCCTTGTCCTTCGGCTTTTGTGATGCCTAGGCCCATGGGCCTAAAAGGCCTTCTTGTGGATCATCGAAGGTGCGAGCGTGCCAAGGGTTTGGCCTGAAGCCCGGCTTCAGGCGATCCAACAGGCGTATTCGTCCATCCTCAAACAGAGGCCGCGGAGGGGGAGCCCGGGAAAGGACCTTGGATCTCGTCTTCTCAGAGCTCGGCTACTGGGGATTCCTTGATGATCGGATGTGATTTGAGGACTCTGCTTTCAGGGTCGATCTTCGCCGTCTTGTGGAAAGATCCCCAAACTCGCTGACTCCTAGCCTGCAGGCAGTTGGGCGGAGCTGCAACGGTCGCGGCAGAGGCAGCTGGGGCGGGCATACGGGGAGGTGAAACTTCTGCTAGGCCACGGTACTCGACCCTCCGCAGCTTGGAGTTTGCTGGAGAGTAGCTGGGCCATCACAGAGACCGAAACACTGCTGAAAGGAAGAGAATCCACCTCCCGAGGAGGCCTGCGACACCTTCCCGAGTGCATTTGTGGGTTGGGCGCTTGGGTTGAAGGGCGTTCTCTTGCTTCGAAGCACTGGTCGGATCTCGCATCCGAAGGTCCGAAGGTCAAGCTCATGAGCGGCAATTTGTTGCGCTCCCATCGCATTGTGCCTAAGAAGATCCTCGCAAAATTAAAACCCCAGTGAAGGTAGACTGTCCCCCGTCTTGGGTTTGCGAGCTTTGCGAGCTGTGGGGGCTCGGCGAGCCAGTACTGTACATGCAGTTTGCAGGTCTTCGGCCCCTCTGCCATTCTCGACGAGTCTTACAGATATGCGCAGGAGGCCTCAGGGCCATGGAGAAATCCCAGTTCTGTTCAGCGAGTATGACTTCTTTGCTTCGGCTTTAAAGCCGGTTGGAGAGAGCACGGCTTGAAGTATCGGCTTGAAATTCCCTGTCCACACCTCGAACGCCGCTCAAAGTCGTGACAAAGCCGTGGCTTCATGTCGAAGTCCCGCTGCAAAATGCAAAAAGCCTTGCGTCTTTCGCGGTGTGGCCAAGATGGGCCAAGTGAGATGGGACTTGGACTCGGGGACTCGGGATCTGCGGACGGGAGTTTTGCACCTTGCTACTTGGTGAGAATCCCAGGTGCGCGGAAAGGAAGATCTCCGCTGGACCGTTCTACTTTAGCAAAACCTTTCGCCCACAGAAGCCGCAAGTCCCAGTGAGTGAAAGAGGCTCGCGCCTCTGCGGAGTGTGTGGCGCGTTGCGGCCACCGTGCTTTGAGAAGCTGGGACGAGGGCGCAGAGGCCCGTGCTGGGTTTTGCGCTTCCGAATATGTCGTGTTTAGCGGTTCTACCCAAAACCCTGGCGTAGATTCGTGCTGGTTCTGTTGAATAGCTCCTTGTTTGGTAGCGAAGCGCTGCTACATCTCCGAGTGTGTTTTCAAACCACGAGCCCAACATGGATTGCTCCCAACGCAACCCCACATTGTTGGGGCATGCGGCTTGCAGCAGCACAAGAAAAGTTGCCGTTGTAATCTCGGCCCTCCAGGTCCTTGGCAGCGACATGTTGTCGTTCTTGGAAAAGCTGGACTCAAAACAAACCCCATGGAGATCAGCAAACTGATCCCAGGGCCATGGCAAACGCAGGGTCCTGCGCAGCCTCCGCGACCTCACACGCCTCCCGGCAGCACCTAAAGGGACTTCGAGAGCCCAAGTTCCTGAAGTCATAGTAGGACGGCGCGGAGTAGGATCGAGGGCCTGAGGCCTGTGGCATAGTAAGTTTGGCTCGACGAACTATTTGTATTCAGAGGGTAGCTGGGTAGCTACAAGGACAGAAAGATCTCGATTGACCCCATTAGGTCTCACCGATGACCCGTTTCTCCAAGTCTTCGTCTGAGACCATATAGCTTGTGAGGGCATATCACCCCCTTTCTGTGGCTTGTATCCTGAACCACCCCAGCAAGCGGAAGCTCATAGCTATGGCAGCTATGGTCTTGGGGCCGCCAATCTGAAGTCTCGCAGAGACAAGGACGGGACCCCCAAATCCAAAAACGCGCCCCTTCGAGGCCAAAGCGCGTCTGAGCTCCGAGGTGCCGGCGCTCAGAACCACGATGCATGGTCAAGAGCCGCCAGAAACCCGAGCAAACTGCCGAAGATCTGGCGAGTGAGAGAGCGCGCTTTTGTGGGCTATAACGGCCCGGAACGGCTCTTCAGCGCCTGCCGCCTCCGCCGTGCGAGGCGCCGCCTCCCAGCTCCGGGCGCTCTCACACGCCTCGGCGGCACTGGCGAAGTGCGCCGAGGCAAAGACGGCAAAGAGAGCAATGCTCCAAAATCTCCAAATTCCCAAAGAGCCCGTCTCTATATTGCAAATTTGCTTTCTGCGCTTCTTCGGGTCCAATGGCCATGAACTGCCGCAGTGAGGGCATGCTGGTAGAGTGTAGGAGCTGACTCCGTATCACGAGTTTAGGCGCTGATCGTCGTATTGCCTACCCTGCGATTGACTACTAATGCCAGGCAGGAGGTGCCCAGGAGGACTAAGTGGCGGTAGAGGGTCGGAATCAGCAGACACCCGAAAGACATCTCTTCCGACCCGCCGGAAACAGCGAAATCGGTTGACCACTTGGCCCTGACTCCGAGTGCAGCCTGCAGGCGTTGCTCGGCGACTGCGCCGACCTTGGCGAGACCTTGAACTCCGCAGCCGCTCGCCTGGGAAGGGTCAGTCAACGCCACGGTGACAGTCCTTTCGCCTGAGCGGCACCTTCTTCCTTAAGCTTCCTTTCCCAGATGGCACTCCGCGACCGATGCGCTATGGCCGAGGATGCAGGCAGCGGCCATGAACATGAATCGACAGAGCAGGGCGTTCCTCCCCCTCCCACCAGATCATCCCAAAATTGGTCCAAGTTTTCACTCTCACCTCAGGGCGCGCCTGCGGTGGATCGGCCGAGCTCCTTGACAGGCCAGCCGTCAGGGACTTGAAGGCATAGGACATAGGAGGTGCCAGCAGCGTCACAGGGCCCCTGGGCCCCAGCTTCATCCCTAAACCTGCGGTGAAGCGACCGAAGCTCCGAAACGGAAGCGCCTCGGAGCCTTTAAAGAAGGCACCGCCCATGCCCAAGAGCCTTCTGAGAAGCGCTGAAAACCCGCCTCCGATCCGAACTGCCACAGTGTCACAGGATCAGCGATGCCACGGAGGCCTTTGCTGGAATTGCGGCGCTCTTGGAATCTGGAGCTTTTGAAAAACTAGCTGTGGGCGGGAGGCGACGCTGCGGAAGGTGGAGAAGGCTTCGCCCGAGTCCTCGCAGGGGGAGGCTGGGGGAAGAGCCCCACTTGATCGCGCTGGAAGCGGTGTCGGGAAGCCTCCTGGTTCGGCTTTGTAGGCACATGAAGAGCCCAACACTCGGAGACTCTTGCACGAACCCCTTCTGAGACCAGGGTGTCTACTCGGCAATGACGCGAAGAAAAGAAAAGTCTTCAAGGTGACTGCAACCCTGCCGCCCTGCGAGGCCCGTGGACGATCCGAAGAGGCCCGCGGAAAGTCTCAAATAAATGGTTTCAGCTTCTGCGCTGCTTGAAGATGGAGATCCTTCGAAAGGGGAGGTTCTTGCAATCCAAACCCTAATATGAAGGCCCCACTACGTCGCGAGTCTTTGCAGAGGCGACGAATTTGTTGCGTCTCGGAGCTCGGCTCCTCGCAGAGAGCCAGGGCCCCAAGCAACGGAAGCTCGGTGGTTCCTTCTCTCTTTTTCGATCCTTTCAGTCCTAGGCCTAGGCCGAGGCTCCAGAGGGAATCTAAAGCACAGAACCGGATCAGAGCTCAGCGGGTTTCTAGTCAGGCTCGACGGTAAAAGGACAGGCTTGTGAAGCTGGGGCGGATGGTGCGCGGTCGTCGCCCCTCGGGAAAACTGTGCTTTGCAGGTTTGGCCCGCACCGCAGCTGTGGGGCGGCGCACAGCCGACGAGGCGATCTCCGCCGCACTGAAGGCGACGCGCTGGCAGGAAGTCCTAAGTCTTTGAACTTTGATCGCCGCTGGCAGGTTGTTGTTTGCAGTACTAGTATTGCAGTTCGCAGATTCGGACTGTTGGCCACGGCCTCCGCTCGTCGGATGGGGCGGCATTTCAGGCCTTGGACCTCCACCGGGGGATGATCATGCTGGACATCGAAGCCAGGAAGGCGCGGAGCCCCAATCTAGGCCAAGACTTTGCGGTGAGAAGTCTTCAGCATGCCGGGACCACCACCAGGTTTCTGACTCCTATAGGAACCCCTTTGACTTTAGACACCTTCGGCGGGTAGCTGAGCTTGCGCATTGTGGTCCGAGCGCCAAGGCCCAAAGACCAGCTTTCTAAGTCTAGAATCTAGAAGCAGAAAGAGAGAGAGTAGCAAACTCTCAGCGATGAGCGGGGAAGCCCTTCAGGAGCGCGAGCGCCTCTCCCGCCACCAGCGCTTCGACGACGACGACGGCCCCGTTGCCGCCGGAGCGCCGAGCTCAGGTGCCTGCAACGATTCCATCGTCTCTGAAGACACCCGCCTTTTCGGTGCCTTATGCTGAAAAAGAGAGTGCTGAGGATGTGGAGCGGCCGGCAAAGGAGCCGGGCGCGACCGGCAGTGCGCCAATGTAGCCCCTTTCGTGCTGCATAATTTCATAATAGCTATATACATACCTGTTATTTTTGGCTTAGGAAAAGAACCAATTGCGGAATCAACCCGACAGAGCTATCGCTTTCAGAATTTGCCACCCCTCTTTCTTCCCTTGTGTTTTGAAGTTCGGTATAGAGATGAAGGAGGAGTGAGATCGCGCAACAACCACTCAGAATGAGGTCTTCCATGTTCTCGTTTCTTTTGCCCATTTCCGAAATCCTGCGACTGATCTTTGGGCCAAGCCTCCCCCTGCCCTCGCTGGCGGAGATCCCTGTTGCTGTCTGAAGAGCGGATTTACGCATGTACAGGACAGGAACAAGTTGTCCGCAGAAAGCAGACCCTGCAGGGACTTGAAGACCTTCAAGCAGGGGCGCCCCCGAGCCCGAGAACCCACAGTCTTGGTGAAGCCTCCAGCATGCCGGGTGCGCCATGGATTTGGACAGTGCGCTGGCATCCTTGGCAACACGACGCGGGGACGTGTGCTGTCCTCGGAAGTCTGGGTTTCGGTGCCCACTCTGGGGTTTCGGGTTCCTGGGAAGGCAGGGTTCGTTTGGGGCCGTTGCTCGAGAGTTCTCGTGGAAGATGTTCTAGAATCTTCGATGGTTCTCTTCGGCGAGTTTCTTCCGTAGCATTTTCTGAGGACCGGGGCTCTTCCCGGCCGAAAAACAAGCGACTGCAGTAGGGGTGACGCAGGATCCTCATGTTTCTGAAGAGTGACGCCGCTGCCATCTTACGGCACTGTCAAGCTTGCAAGGTCCAGCCTCCGCGCACTGCGCGCCGCGCTGCCGCAGGCTGCGCCGAGGCCAGGGGCTCATGTGCCATGTAGCTAAGCAGCTAAGCTCAGAACCCACATGCCATGCCATGCATCCTTGCAGAATGTGTGAGCGCGATGCATTTGGTCCAGAATTCACGTGGACACGTGTATCGCTTTATGTGGTCGCTATAACTGCAGGCGGGCGCGGGATTCAAGACGCCCCCTGTTTCGCTGTGAGCGTCTACAAAGTGCAGATTTCCCTGCAGTTCCCACCTTACTCGGGGTCCTTACAAGTTCTGCTTCGACAAAGCCTTCCTACTGCTTCTTTATTACAATCCTACCTGTACTCCGGCTCTTAAATACCGCCGAATATTTAAAACGCCCCTGGGTGCTTGGCACTTTTCTCAAAAACGAAAACAACTGACCGACGACACGGCACTTAAGGCTTACCAAAACCACACCCATGCCGGGCGCGGGGGCCTACATAGTTCAGCTTAACCACCTGATCTTATTGGCAAACACCCGATTCCGGAAAATAAATCGCCTTTAAACACCAGAACCCTCTGTTTTTTACTAAAACCAAGTATGTATATGTACTTATGTCTGTATGCATGGTGAATGTTTCTGAATACGAGGCAAACTCCAGGCTTCAAAAAGCTCCATCCAGCAGGCTACGCCGTAGCCTTCACCTGCTCGCGCCACTTTGCTGCTCCGGTGCCTCGGTTTCACTCGAGCCTGGCAGCTCCACCTCCAAATCTTTCAGTGGGTTTGGCACCGCGCATAACGCTCCCTACCTTGCCCCACCTACCCCAACAAGATCTGAAGCAGAGAACCTTCCCACGCATCCGAAGGTTTCGTCGGTTCAGGGAGCGGCAAGGAATGGGGCGGGTCTCTTTTGAGAGAGGCGACGCTGAGCTGGCCGAAGAAGCCGAAGCTCTGCTCGCGGCGCTCACGCCCGAGGAGGCCGCCAAAAGCACTGCCTCCGGGTTGTCAAGTACGAGAAGGGGACCCGTGAGTTGTAGCAGCATTGTGTTCTTGAGTAATGGAGGCACAGTGCTTACATGGCAAGTCAGGCAACCTTCGCTGGAGGCGAGCGTCGCTTCTCCTGGCGAGGTGTCGAGGCCCGTGGAAAACGTTGTCGCTCTAGGCAGTGGCTGCCAAACCTCGAAGGAAATCCCGAAGGCAAGCTCGGACCTATAAAGTTGCGTCAACGAGTCTCGTCAAGGTGGACTTCTACGAACTGGAGGAGGATCCGCAGACCGACTTGCTCTTTGGCTACGGCCTTTGGCCGGTCAGCCGAGCTGCAAAAGAAGAACCATGTGTGTTTCTCGATTCTCGGGGGTCTTGAAACGCGAAAGCAAGACAGGGAATTCCAGCGGCTCGATTTCGCGTTGGAGGTCTAGCAGGGCTCCGCCCCTCTTTTTTCATGGAACGCTCATTTTGCAGCCCAAGCGCTGTTTTTGCCACTGTGCAAATCCACTCCCACCGCTGCCCGTAACCGGAGGGGGTGGGCAAGCGTGGACCCCCACACGGTGTAAGAGAGAAGGAGAGAGAGAAGAAGAAGAGGCCTTCTGTGTAAACAAGTGCAGGTTGACTGCGATTTGACCCCTTTCTAAGTCAGACGATGAGGAGGCGCAGGGGATACAGAATCTCCAACGTTTGGCAGTAGCCTAGGCCTAGAAAACCCTCAGTCCGAAGTACAAGCAATTCCAGATCGGCAGCCACTGTTTGCCTTCAGGTCGCTGCCACCCTCGCCAGGCTGCTGGCAAACACAGCGCTTGATGGAGAGGTGCTCCCTCGCTCTCCGCAGGGCCTTGCACGGCATGTCCACGGTTGGGCTATGTGGTTGGGCACAAGCACCCCTTGCAGCAGCGTAACTTGCATTAACTTGTCGAAGGATTTGTAAGTGTCCTTTGGACCGGAAGCTTTGAACGTCAACAAAAGGTTGCGTTTGTACCGGGCTCTCCACGACCCCAGCCTATCCAGCTGCGACTGCCCCAGGTGCAGGGCCACCCGATACCTTCCGTCAAGGCGCTCTCCGAAGGTTTTTATTGGGGTTGCGTCTCGGAGTCAGCAAGACAGCAGCCAATCGAAGAACCGAACACCACCTGCCGACAGCCCTCAGCCGGGGGTGTATCTTGCAGTGGAAACACAGCATAGCCCTTACCCTTGAAGCCTCCGAAGCGCCCCCACTCCTGTGCAGGGCAAGTCGATCTTGGAGATCGGAGCCTCGGGGCTGAACGAGTTGTCTTCCTTCCCTCTTCCTTCTCTCTGTCTTCCCCCTTGAGGTATTAGCTTTCAGCATTGCTGTCCTCATACTTCCCAAAGGTCCCAGAGTGGAGAGCACCGAAGCTCTTTCGCCCCCAGGGGCTGGCGTGGGCCTGCCCTCGCTGGTCTGCCGTGCATTGGGCGCCGCACAGGCCGCGGGCTTCAAAGGGGCGGTGTCTCGCAAGTGTTCGGTGGATCGGTGGCTTCACGTTGGCGGTCTTCTGGTCTCTCTATCGCTGCAGAATTTTAGGACTTTCGGACAGCCTGTGGGGTCTTCACTAAATGTTGTGGGAGGAAGGCAGAATTGATCGGAGACCGGTGGAGTAGCAGTCGTCGTCGCGGTGGCGCTGCTGCTATGACCAGCTCCCACATACCCGTACTAATGTAGAAATGTCTGGCAGGTGACTATCACGGACGCAGAGCTTCGGCTGGTGGATGCCTTGCAGGTGCGTTCCATGTGCCAAAGAGGGTTTGTCCTTACGGCTTGAAGGAGCAGGCCAGAAACGAACCCCCCTCAGGCCCGGTGCCTGCGTCTTGGGCCCCGCAGGAGCATCACGGCCACCACCCTGAGCTTCGCTTCGCGGTGCTGGACTGGAAGCTCGATGCAGGAGCCCACGGCCTACGCTGTGAGAGAAATGTAGTTGCAGTTCTGACATCAGGCCCGCCGCACCCAGTTTCTCAGCGGTGCACCCAACGGCCAGGAGAGGAAGCGGAGGTCTACGACGTGATTGTGGCTTCCGACATCTTGCTCGCCTGCTGCGAGGCGAAGCCGCGAGCCGTGGTTTCGGGCACTTTTGGATGCGAGGCGCACGAGCCAAAAACGGAGGTCCTTACAAACGGGAGGCTTTTGGGGGGTGTCTGTTGCAGTTTCAAGCAAGACTAAGTGGGTTGTTGAGAGCAGGGCCCGGTCTTCGTGCCGCAGCTCCTTGCCCGCCGGCTCCGGCGTTCTCCCGAGGCGAGGTCTCCAATCACAGCTGTGCTCGTTTGTGGCAGAAATTTTCGGGCAGACACAGCAAGATCCGTCTTTGAGCCCGAATGTCCCGGCCAAACTTCTGGCTCATGAATGCGGTCAGCCCTTAAACTCTTTGGGCCCCGGCGCCTTGCTTTGGAAATGTCTTTTGGTTGAACTGCGCTGGACTTCTAAGTCGGGCATGGCAGCAGAGAGAAAAAACTCTCAGGCGCGAGCGCTGCTGCTCAATGCTCATCGAGGAGAAAGAAGCCAAAGGCGGGGTTCGGAGGCCTTTGCAACGGAGCATGGCTCGGAAATGTCCGGCAGTTGGAAAGCCTTGCACGAAACCACAAGCAAGGGCAAAGACAAAGAGCTGTCAACATCGCTTTGAGCCGCAGCTTTGCCTGCATAATCTGGTCTGCCGAAGCAGCACGAGCACAAGGACAGCGATGCGCGAGATGCGGCGGCAGGGCTTCCTGGTCTCCAGCTTCGCAGTTTCATCTTCACAGGCCTGCCCAAGGCTGACCTTGCCCCCCCACGACCGCAAGTTGCAATCACCTCTCGAGCCTTCACCACGAGTCCCGAACCCCGAAGTTTGCAAGCTTCGACATCAAGTGAAGCACGCATCATCACGCTGACAATAGCTTCCGGATTTAAGGCAAGCCATGAAGCCCTTGACCCAGAAGCCCCACTTACACTGCTTGCCCTCCACAGGAAATGTGAAGCCGAAACCAGCCAAACCTCCAACAGCTGATCCCGCCAGCACAGGAACTTCACAGCATTTCAGAGGAGCGCTTCAGTGCTATTCCGGAGGCCAGCGGACCTCAAAGAGAGGGTTTGTTATACTTCGCGCGGCGAGTTCATGGTGCAGCACGCAAGCGCTTCGCTTTGTGTCAAAGGTCCAGAAATTGAAGCGGCATTGAAAGTCATTGTGCGGAGCTTGCACTGCCAAGTTCCCATCCTTGCACCATGTCCTTGCACGATGATGACACGAAATCAAGGCTGCAAGTACATAGGCAGAGAGCAAGCCACACCGGCAACAAGTCACCCAAATTCCGAAGCCTCACCCTTGAACCTACGTATGGCTGTCCGAGCCTGGATCCCCTCGCATGCCAAGCGCAGGGCTCGCAGCTGCTGCTGGTGGCGTCCTGGCCCGGAGCCGGGAGCCGCGTCACTTTGCATGCTTGGGACTTGACTTCTTGGGGGACTTGTTCTATCATCCCAGGCTCCTTGGCCGTGAGCTTAGGCGAAAAGGGAGCTTCGACTAGGAAGCAGAGCTTTGGGGTCGTTAGGAGTCTTCTGGATATTTTCGTGACTGAATGGCCAGCATTACCGACTCTCAGCTCTCGTTGCGGCGTTTGGCCACAGATTGTTGGATGAAGCTTGGTACGAAGAAATGCAGTTGATGCTCTGACCTTTCATTTTGTACCGATCACAATCATCAGGGTACAAATCATGCATTGCACAGGCCCTAGGTGGAGGAATCACATTGAGGAATCCTCGATCAGGGGCAGGGGGGGAGGTTTCATGTTCTTAGGGCCTCACAATGATATTCTAAGTATGTGCTGAGGGTTTTAGGATGCTGTTTCCGAGCATTTCCACGGCAATCTTGAGGTCAGTGCAGTTGACCGGCCCCTGAGCTTACGGGGCTCTGCATGCAGGAGCCACGAAGACAGCTGCTGACCTGGTGGCGAAAAGCTCCAGCGCGAAGAACCGACTTGTCCGCTCGACGCTTGTCATCTTTCCGAGCTTGACTTCGGGATCTGGCCACGACCAACATAGGTAGAAAGATCGTAGCAATCCGGCTGCGCTCGAGATATGAGTTGCACAGACCTGCCAAAGCTATTTACCCACCTGACAGCCTCGCGTTACCGCTGGTGCAACGACGGCAGGCCATTCTATTCTGGCATTTGGCAATATTTGGCAAAGGGTTGCAGTGTGGCTGACGAGCATCACACTGCAGCGACTGCTGACCCATGGATCGGTAATGTGCTTGAAACGAAATGTCGGAAAGCGTATAGTGTCCGGTTAGACGTTTCACGCATTTACACACATCTACGTATAAGTTTCTTGGTAGCACGAACAGAAGTCAGTGCGAAACGCTATGTTAGACGTACACCACGTAGGACTGCCAAACCTCTGAATCGAGTTTTGAAGACTCTTTCGGCGAGCATTCTCGGCTTCGCTTGCTGCTTCTAGACAGCGTCTCCGCCTGTGTTCCTGCCCATCATGGCCAAGCTCCTGTGCTTGGGCGGGGCGGTCACATGTGTTCGATGGATCAAGAGACTTGAACGCAGCTAGTCCGTGCAGACTTCTGGGCTTCTTCCGGTCGCATGACATGGTATCCAGAGCATGTCATGCTACTTGAAGGCAGACTGTAGCACGTGATTGCCGTTTCTGGGGCACTTCGTCATGGCAGGGCGAGGCCAAATTGTGGTTTTCGTACAGACCGAGGACCAGCACAGAGCCGATCAGGAAGAAGTTCAATCGGACCTCGTTTGGTCAAACTGCGCTGATGGTGCTCTGTCTCTACTTGATGGCCCAAGTTGCACAGATCTCACAACACAGCTGGATGATTGAGCATGCTGTCGGCCGGGATGAGAAGCAGATGCAGCAAGATCATCGCGAAGCTGAGCAGATGCAGAGGGCCGCAAGCCGCTTGGCCTTCGGATAGATTCGCCCTTACAAGTCGACACGTAGTCAGAAAGCAACACCTCCATGAATGCAAAGCCGCAGGTGAATTGGAAAAACAAAGCCAAGAGGAACACAGCGGGGCCGTGGATGAGAGTTGGCTGGTTTTTAGAAATCGTTTCTGATTGAAAATAACTGACATGCTGGCAACTCCAAGCCTACCGGTCCAAGACTTTCGGGCTTTGGCATTCCGGGATAGCTGATGTCCGGCTCAGGATGCGCGCGCCTCTATGTTCCAACGACAAGAGTCCGTGGAGGACAAGAAGGACAGGCTTCTCGAAATCTGGGGCTGCAGGAAATGCTGAGGTTTTGAGACTGGGGATTGGGCCGAACCGGGGCAGCAATTGGAAGCGGATGCCGGTACTGTATCGTGTAGCTGACGGGCGCGAGGCCGCCGTTGCATGCATAAGCTTATGCTGTTCACGATCGATCGTCAGACTGATGTGCACTTCCGGATAAATTCCCATTCAGCCGGGGCCCTTGTTTCAGGCACTAGACGAATGTTACAGCAGTGATCTGAGATCCTGGGACCAGGAATCGGCTTCCCTTCAGCGGAAGGCGACCGTGCCGGCAAGCTTGGACAGTCAAGCTAGTCGGGAATGCCATAGTACCATAGTCAAGCTTAAAGTCCTACTAGAGCCAATCCTGTCACGCATGGCATCTACGGATAAGCATCGGCCAAGCTGTCTCATGTGCCACACGTGTGCTTTGTTAAGTCTCTGCCTGCTGCACCAGACTTGAGCATGCTGGCATTGAAGTTGCTTTTGCACGACATGCTTCAATCCAGCAGGCAGAGGCCCAAAGGAAGATTGCGGATGCAAAGAAGGAAAAGGCCGAGGCACAGCAGCGGAAGATCAAAGATCTTGCCACAGAAGCAGACACAGTGGAGGATGCCGCCGCTACTCTGGCGATTCTTGCAACTAATGCGGCCATGGAGTCTCACCGCCTGGAAGTGAAGGCAAGCGGAGAAGCTTCGGCCGCCAGTGACGAGCAGGTGGCCGCAGCGCTTGCAGAAGAAGAAGCGGATGCTGATGAAGCACAGGTTGCTGCCACCGAGTGGATTCCAGTCTGGGACGTGCTCGATGATGTTGTTGGCGGGGCCGCGGTCCTAGGCCTGCAGTCGAAAGCTGCGGAGGAAGAGGCGTCATCTTTGAGCAAATCCGCGGCAGCGGCAAGGGACAAATATCGCGCTGCGACTGCAGAGGGAAATGCTGATAGATTGATCAAGGAGAAAGTGGAGAAGCAGATGGAACGTCAGAGTATAAGGTCAGAGGCCGCCATTCTGAGAAGAAAAGCTACAGCACTCACAACTGGAGCAGTCGTGGGGATGGAAGAATTCACAAAAGACGAGAAGGAGATGGACGAGAAGTCGAAGGAAGCAGACCGCCTCGAAGATGCGAGTTTGAGGTCCAAACGCAACGCAGAGCTCTTGCAACTGAGAAGTCGGGACACTTCCAACCAGTCGACAGATGCGCAGAAAAGGGCGGATCACCTGAAAGACGAGGCAGCAAGCCTGAGAAGCAGTGCAGACAAGAAGCACAAACAGGCTCAAGCAATGAGTCACCTGGCCAGCTGTCTCCTGATTCTTGTCAGTTTCTCGGCGATGATGTTGATGTGGTCCCTGTATCCATCATTCTCGCGCGCAGAAATGTCCAATGCTCGCCATTTACAACTCCCGCTTCTTTGGGAAAGGGCCTGGGAGAGGGACCCGAGGCGAGGCCAGTGTAAATGGAACTTCGCCATGCAGGTATTGGAGAGGTGCACATTTCTCATGTGCACCCTGTGGGTGGGAAGTTACTTCGCCCAGAATTACCAGATCGAGGGTGTGTGGCCTTTTTTTCTTAAAGAGCTGTGTGCCATTGGGGCTGTGGCCTTGCCCATGTTTTTCTGCGCTGCAATGTGGGCCAGAGCAGATCTTCACAAGGCCGTGAGTTGCGGCTGCCTCAGCCGCGACTCGGCGCGGAAGCTCATCATTTGGGAGGGATTGACTGAGTGGTTCTGGAGTGCCAACAATGCTGTTGCTATCGGCATTCTGGTACTTTACTGCAGTCTGGGCTACCATCGTAGCTGCAGCTCTCATGGCATGGAATGGGGCCAAGATGTCACGGCCAATGTTCGCATGTCCATGTTGCTGCTTGGGCTGTCCGCCGCGAGTCTCCGAACATCCTACGGAGTCTTTCGCTGCGGATGTGCTTGCAACCTTCAGGTTCAACCACATCAGCCCGGTACTTTGCAAGTTTTGGCCGCACGCTATGGTTGGGTGTTCGTGGTCCTCATAGTAGCATATGTAACGTACAGCAAGTTCGAACACTTCTTTTACTTCTGGGCAGATAATGGAGAGCTCCTGCAAGGGCAGTCTTGGGAGTTCCTCACTGCGCTCGGAATTTGTTTGGTGCTTGACAGTGCAATAATTGTCGACATCCTCCTGCACAAATCAGGCGATGTTTGTAATCTCTTTGTCTGAGGCATGACGCAGGAGGCGTACAGAACAGAAGTCTTCTGTCCATGGTTGCATCGATAGGCGGGGGCAAGCTCCCCCATCTTCCAGCCTCATCGCACAAACTGCACTACAAGAAGCACGCGCGGAAAAGGACATGAGGTTCGACCTTGGCTGCCCACTGCCCGGGGCCACACACCAAGCTGTTTCAATGCACCAGGACACAACCGGACAAGGTCTTCAAGGCTTCAACCTGCATCGAACCTGAAGAAGCACGTGACATACGATCACAACTGAAGCATAGCCTTGCCAAGCCAGCATCCCAAAACCTCACCAGAATTGTTTTCTCAGAATCCTACAATCTTGGCCTTAAGTCTCTTGGTTGGGACAGCTGTCCGGCTGCTGGCGCCGATGGCGATTTGCTCAGCAGTGTTCCAGGCAGGGTCCGGGGTTCACTTTCGAGTTTATCCCGATGGGTCCATGTTTGGTCACAGACCTGCTGCTTCGTCTGTCAGATCTACACTCTTGGTTTGTTTACCAAGGTAGCGAAGGGAGTCCAAGTTGGAGAGCATAAGATGCCCGAGAGAAGAAGAAGGTCTGCAATGCCCCGTGCTGCGCGTGCTGCCCTGCGGCCAGCATTGGCCGCTGCAGAGGGAGTGCAGACGGCCGGCGGACATTTATGGCTTGGGGAATCGGTACTTCAATCATCTTCTGACAGTCTCAGAGGCATCTAGGTCTTGGCGCTTGAAAACCTCCATATCAGTCTGACTGAATCTTCGTGAATATCGAAGGGGGGTCGCGAGAACGCTATACCTATCTGCCCACGGACTTGCTTGAGGCTTGCCGTGAGACTGACATGTAGGGCAGGTGCAACCCAAGCCATTTGTCGACACGGTAGCTGTCTCCTGCTGTATGCCGCAAATAAACATTGCAATCGTGTCTTGGTACAGCTCCGATTACCATTCCGGTGAGGTGCAGGGTGCAGAGGTCAAAGCAGAAACGAGCACGGGGGCTTCTCTCATCCACCGAAATACGGTCCTTGCCACTTTCCGGTACGAATGTCGGTTTGAGGTGGGCACCCTGAGCACCCTGACCCTCACCCCGCAAGCAAAGGTGGGTGCAGCGCTTCCGCGAAGTTGGCCATTTGTGGGCCAAGCTGGACCCCGAGGGGCCCGGTAGCTCCGAAGTTCTGAGGTTCGACCAGATGCAGCCCAAAGACACCTTCGTCTCTGAGATGAACAGTTAGACACCCTTGCAACCGCGCAGTGATCATCCTCAAAAAATGAGAGCCGGACACAGCAAGACCCACTGGCAAGCCAACTGGGGAGCCCCCAAGCCGGCGAAAATCTGCGGACATCGTGCCACGCTGCCAGCAGAAGCAGTTGAACAGAGCATCCAACATGTGGCATCGACAAGCAGGACCCCCTTGGCCGTTGCCGCGGGTCCCTGGCACGCTGCCCGGACTGGTGGCGCGAGGCCGGTATGGTCCGATATGTCAAGCCAGTGTCTTCACTTGTTTTCCTCCACCTGCACTTCGGCAATCCTTTCCAATCCTGGGCCGACACATAGATTGAAGCTTGGAATCGTGGCCTCACCGGCTCGATTTGATCTAGTACTGGTAGATTGTGGCTTCCATTCTTACATCGGTGCTTTGTATGTTTTCCGTTTTTGCGGCACCTAGCTCTGTGTGCCTTTCGCCTCGAAAGCCTATGCCCACTCTGCCGCCGGACGGAAGCAGAGTTTTAACGTCCACGAAATTGCAATACTTTTCTCAACAGGAACTCTCCTGCCCTAAACCCGATCTCGAAAGGACCAGGGCCATGTGATGGACCAGCATCCGCCACTGGGCCTTGTCGAGGTTTGGAGGGTAGAAGTGAGATGGAAGTCTGAATTTGCTTGGGGAGCAGACCGTGTGTTTGCCGACGTGGCCTGGGGACACCCCAGTGGTGGGGTGATGGAGTGGCGGGTGGTCATCCTGCTTCCTGTTTCAAGCACAAAGCAGCGCAGCCAAACTGGTTTCTGGAAGTTGACAGCTGACGGAAAAGAGTGACCTCAAAAAAAGATCGTTGGCCTCTTTGCGAGCCCGTTTGAACTACCTACCTGCAGCCGCTTCATAATGCACACGTACTTGGATGGGACACTCGACAGCTCAAACCGCTGTGCCGGAACTCTGCGCCTTTCCTTCTTATCAGTCTCCAAGGCTTGCGGGGTATGTGCCCTCGACCCCTTCCACGCCACCGCGGCATCTCTTCGTGCCGAGGGGCTTGCTTCACGCAGCCGCTGGGTGAAACTGTGTGGGCCTGTACAATCAAGTTGCTCCCAGTTGAGAAGAAGTCACCGTTGATGTTCAGAGTTGGAACGACCGAAAGATGTGTCATCTTGGCGCAGAGCTGGGTTCGCGTGATTTCGGAGGCAACAAAACACTGTCGGTCAAAGCCTCTTGCACAGGAAGGTGGCCCTTGGTGGACTCGCGAGGAGCTTCTGCGCGTCCTCGAGGCAGTCAGAGCTCTTCGCCTAGTGACCCCCTGAAGGGCGAGTCAGGCAGCTTTTGGAAGAGCTCGAGTGAACTCCTTCGAGCACCCCTCATGTAAAGGCACTGCTCACACTCGTGCTTGGACTTGCAAGGTTGCAGGAGAGCATTTTTAGCCGGAATCCTGCACCTTTCTTGATACGTGAACAGAACACTCCAGCGCACAGGATGCCTACTGCGGCCATCTCAGCTTTGAGGCACCGTGGGACAGAGGGAGAAAGATCTTGCATTAAAACTGGCTGCAGCACCCGGAAGACGAAACCCAGGGCCCAAAATCTTACTGCATATACGCTGTCCGTCTTTCCGATGCCGAATGAAGGGCCTACCACAGATGTGTACCAGAGTTCGCAAGCCAATCAGAATGTTGAGCAAGGTTTTGAAGCATATTTCAGGATCGGAAAGAGCATACCATATCTGTTCGATGGTTGCGGCGGTAGTCGACTGCAGCTTCTTGGCATGACAGTGCGGCGCTGCCACCCTGACCCCCCCAACCGTCAAAATCAGAACCACCGACATGCGGTTCAAAAGCAGCCCTGATCACAGGTGAATCATTTGCCAGACATGGAGCAGAGAAGGCACGGGATCGGGAGGGAGGGGCCGGCGGGGGGAGCGGGATGGAGCGGGGGAGCGGCACGGACTAGGCGACGTCTGATCCGAAGCCCGGGATCACCCTCGACATGCCCGCTTTAGGTGGTGGCACTGCGCCGCCGAGACGCCGCGGCCTCCGCCGCCAGCGTGGAGAAGGCCACGGCGTCCAAGAAGAGCCGCGTTTCGGAGCCGCGGCGTCCGGAGGGAGCTTCGGAGCGAACTAGGCGAGCTAGGCCGATCTCAAAGAAGCGAAAATCTCGAAGCCCGAAAGCGCTGCAAAGCTGAAAGCCCTGCCCGCCGGATGTTTCTGTAGCCGCTGTAGCGGGGAGCCCCCACGCTTCCTAAGGCGCGCCATGCTTGCGAGGCACGTGGCTACCGGATCAGAGACTCCGTGAATTTGTGTGGCTGATACCGTGTAACTGTATAGTTCATAGAAGTTCATTGTAAAGAGGGGGGTTTCCACCCAATGGTCGGAAGCCTAGTTTGCCATTGTGTGCGACGAAGGGGTACCAGACATGAGTTGAAAAGTGCGCGACCACGTACTCGCCTCCACGTTGGTGGTCGCGGGCTTGTATCTGCTTTGCTCAGTAGGCGATGCAAGTGCGAAGAAGTACACGTTGATGTTTTGTCCCCAAGTGCGAGCATGTCGGGCGGATTTTCAAGAAGGAAAGGAAGTGGTCTCAGTTCTGCCTTGCTGTCTCCACGCTATCCACCACACCCGCAATTTTGATGAGATGCCGAACACCTTGAGCGAACGCTTGGAACACTTCCATGGCAAGCAAGTCCGCCGCATGAGTATTGCTGGATTGCGGCGGTTGTTGGGAGCAGGCATTAAGGTCCGCCTGGAGGCAGGTGAGGAAGGAAAGGTTGCCTCCGTGTTCCGCAAATATGGCCCAGCAGACGACGATGAGACAAGGATCAGATTATCGTGGATGCTGGGTGGTTGTCTTCCAGCATGTGCGCGATGAATCTTGGATTTCGCTCCTGCGGACAAGGATTGGCGAAGAAAGCCATCCGGGTCTTGCGGCCGCAGCTGCGGCAAGACGAGTCAGAGAAGAGCGGCAAGGAAGCCCAAATTCCCTAAGGGCTACTTCTTGTTTGCGTGGCGCATGACCAAGCAAGCCAAAAGTGAGGTTCGGCTGTGCTTGCGGAATGCCGGCAGTGCCCCTTAACTGCATGCGGTGCTACATTTGTCCGCCCGATGCTGCCTCGCATACGTGTGAAGTGGGCAAGGGCCGGGACGGCACGGCACGCCGTGTCCAATGACGGAGTTTGCTACTTTGAATGCGAGAAGGATTGGCCTCGGAGAGGCTCTACCTGTGTTTTAGGTTACGGCGAGGTGCCACGTGCGGCGATTGCTTCCAAAGGACCTCTTCGCAAAGTTGTGGCTCAGAATTTGGATGCGAATGGCAGAGTGGTTTTTGCCATCGCTGACTTTGTGTTGGGAGGGGTTACACAGAAGATCCTCCTCGGAAGTATATATGCAGATGTCCGCGATTCTAACCTTGCAGAAGCCTTGGTTCAGAGATCGGTTCGCCGCAAAAAATTACGGGTTGCCTTGGGGCTTTTACTGGGCGACGACGACTTGGAGCAGGATCAATCTTGCATCGCGAATGTGTGCGCGTCAGGTGCGGCTTGCTGTCTGGACATCCAGTTCGGCCCGTTGAGCACCCTTCCCGCTACGCAGCGTGGTGGCCATCGAAGGATTGTTTTTGGTCTGGCTGATGCGAGATTGCTGGCCACATCGCTGCGGCATCAGGTGTCAGTGGCTGACCGTTATGCAGTGATCTATGGGTTCGCGGATCTTGTAGAACTTCAGTGCCACAAGGGGCCACGGCGGCGCCAGTTGAATGAGTTGAATGAGAACGACATTGCATTGCGCTTTGTGCAAACTTGGACCCCCAGTACTTTCCGTGATGCTGCATCGTCCGGCGACCTTAATTGATGAGGCATGGAGGTTGTTGCGCAATGCAGGTGATTGCGCGTTGGCGTTGGAAGCTGAGGATCGATTTATAAGGGAGGGCAGAAGACATTGCTCCAGAGCTGAGTCGTGGGATGCAGCGCCTCGGCAGTCCAAGGCCGCCGTTGTTGATGAGCCCATGTTGCTAAGGCAAATGAGGAGGCTGGAGAGCAGATTGCGTCAACTGTGTACAACCCGAGGAGGTGCAGTTGTGTGGAGCAGTTGTTCGTTCCTTGAGAGCGTTGACAAGATCGGTACCCGAGCTTCAGGACTGGCAGGCCAGGACTTTCGATGGCATCGTCATGGTCGTCGAGCGCGTCATTGCTGACAGGGAGAAGGCATTGAGTGAACAGCGAGTGCACCAGTGGAAGGAGGAGTTGGTAGCCAATCCTACGCAAGCAATGGCTTGGGTTAAGGCCCGGGCTGCGCGTGAAATTGCAGACGGTGTCAACCGGCCGGCGCATGACCCGCAGGCGCCGTTGCGAGCTGTCCACCCGGCGTCCGTCTTACACTGAGGAGTGGGTCTGGATGGAGTTGGGTGGTTGTCAAAACTAGGGTCCCTTTTGGGGTCCTTATTGTAATGCGGCGCCTAATATTTAGGGTACCCCAAACAGGGACCATAATTTTGACAACTACCCAGTTGTGGAGGGCATGGAACACTGGCATTGTGCCGTGCGAGTGGCGGCGCGTTAGGGTGGCATGTTGCCCTAAGGCAGACGGCTCGTGGAGGCACTGACTTTGCCTTCGGTGGCATGGCGTTTGGGGGCCGGATAGGGATAGTCAAACAATTGCATGCGAGGTTGGGTGGAATCGTGGGCCTCACCCCACATGCTGGGCGGACTTCCTGACAGGTGCGTACAACATGCGCACATGAGAATGCATGAGCGCATCTTCATCGCGGAGGACTGGTCCAGATGCTTTGATGCAAGTGACACACAACAGGCGTGTACTGCTCTTGAAGACCATGGTGCACCACGGCAGTTCGTGCGACCGGTGAAGGGATTTAATTCCAAGCAGGAGCCCATTTTTGGCCTGGGCGGTTGCCTGGGCATGTCGTGGCATGAAGTTAGTCGTGGAGTGCTACAAGGTTGTCCGTCGCCGCTCATCACGGCGGCTTTGCTTCAGTGCTGGGTGTGGACGGTGGTTGGCCGCGGCCGAGACGGCATCGATGCAACTGTCTATGTTGACGACAGAACTTTGTCGACAGAGGGCCCTCCCGCCACTAGAGCTGCCTCCATGCTGGCCGCCTTGCGGAGAGGCAAACGTTTTGACAGGGCATGCGGATGGCAGTGGCGACCGTCCAAATGTGAGTTCATGTGTCATCACCCTGTTGATTGCGTTGAGTTGCGACAACAGTTTCCAAATTTCCAGGATTTCCGGGTTGAGGAGTCGACGTTTTGGGTGTATGCCATAGACTCGATGCTTCGTGCACCCCTCGAGAGCGAGTTTGCCCGAGTTGAGTCTGCGAGCAAGATTGGTTCGTGCTTTTCACGTGCCGATTAACCTGCCCACTTACTTGCATGAGATGCTGATCGTTGCCAAACTCAGATGGATCGCGTGTGTGACTTGCGACGTCAAGGAGCCCTTGAAAGGTTAAGAACCGACGTCCTTGGGCCCTTGCAGGCAATACGGCCTTGCATGAAGCTTGGAAGTGCTTGACATTCGACGTGTTCGGGTGGCATATCGATCCCTGCTTTGCGCTGGAGTGGGCGGCCATCTCTGCTGCTGTGAGGTGGCACCTTTGCCAGCCCCAGTGGTTGGAAGCAGTTTGCATGCGGTTTGCGCTAAATCTTCGGTCTCATGGTGATGCCGGCAGCAGCTGAAGTGCTCAGGAGGTGGTCGTTGTTGCAGATGGGTCGATGATATCGAGAGTTGACCATCGGGGTGCAGTCCGCAATTGGGTGTTGGGCGTTGATGGGTTTGAGCGTTTGAAGTCCTGGCTCCAAAAATGGCTTGCACAGCACTGGACGTATTCGCGACAGTTACCACAGAACCGAAGTTGAGGAAATGGCGCAAGGTGTGGCGTTGCCCCCACCTCCAGCGCCTACAGCTATTCTGGGAGAGGCTCATTGCAAACTTTTAATCGAAGATGGAGCGTCAAGACAGCAGCGGCTCGCTGCTTTGGCTACGGGGTCCACGGTGTGGGTTGAGAACACGCTCAGAGGATAGCTTGGAGATCAATGGCACGCTACGTCTACGTGTCTATGTGGCTTGGAGTACCCGAGCCGCCCCCACTTGGTCTACCAATGCACAGCCATGGCCGTATTGGGACCAGCCAACCGCTCGACAGAGCGCAGGAGCGGTTGTTTGCTGTGGCTGTTGCTGACATGCCGATTCGGCCTCGTTGTGGAAGACCCGGGAAAGCTGAAATAGTTCAGACGTTCATCCTGCTCGCGGTCCACCCCGGTGTGTGCCACCGAGGGCTCTTCCAAGGAGGAGGTTGGCGCAGGGGCGGTGGCTTTTGAGCAGGAGGGGTTTTGCGCCCGAGGATCAGTTCACTTTCCCGGAGAGCTTCATGGTATAATGATTGTTCTGGAAGCTGCTGCCGTCGCTTGCCGAAGGCACAAGCTAGCGCGGCTAGTGTTTTTTTATTGTCAGTCCGCACTCAAAGCTTGTGAGACCACCTACAATGGTAAGGGCTTGGTGTTGTCTCGCCGCATCTTTGCCTTGACTGAGCTTCGTGGTGCTGGTGCGTGGATTGATTACTCGTGGGTTCCGCCCCAATGATGAGGCAGATTGCAAGGTGCGCCGCTGTGCAATCCTGCGATGGCAAAAGTCTTTTCGTGCAGTCGAATGCTGAGAACTGCTGTGGCGGTTGCTGAGAAATTCCATGAGAGGTTCTCTCAGGGGTAGCCTCAGCACAGGCAACGTTGAGCATTTAGCCTTTGGGTGCCACCCTGGTGTTCGAAAATCACCCAGTCGGAGTTGCAAAATGCCGCAGGCTGCTCCGTGCCACGCTGCTGACGCAGTTCCTTCGTGCTAAGTTCCCGGCCACGACGCTCGGCTCCCTCCGAACCCTCGCGGCTTCGCCATGACCACTAGAGACCCGCAACTTGATTGGTTTGCAGCATTTGCCTCCCGGGCCACGTCAGCTTGCCTGCCTGAACCGCCGTTTTTCCAAGGAAATGGTTTGGGCTCGATGGCAGCGAGGCGGGTGCAGGGTCGGTCGCTGCAGCAAACGCTAAAACCTTAAGTTGTATCAAGTTGTGCAAAATTAGCTCCAATAAGAGCCACCATGAAATTCACAGCTTTGCACCAGTTTCTGTACTCCAAGCTGAGTCAAACAATTGCCAACGTCGGATTCGAGGGGGATAACATGCGCTTGCAATCTGCAACAAAGCTTGATGTACGTCTTCTTCCTCCTCGGAGCTTGCGCTGCGCTTCTCCACCATACCAGGTGTTGTTGCCGGGCCTTTTCCGCCTTTGCTACCGCCACTCGCAATCGCAGCTGTCAGAGGATTCCAACCTGAGGCAGTTTTGGTGTCACACGGCGCGAGGTGCTAGGCCGGTAGGACGTGAAGCCATGTGAAGCTTGGCCCGGCCCGGCCACTCCAGTCCAGGCTCTGCCGCTCGCGGCGTGGAGCACATTGAGATGGGCATGCCGCATCGAGGCCAGCTGGCCCCAGACGCCCTCCTCAGAGCATTTCAGAATGGAGTTTCAAGGATGGCTCGGATGTCGAAGTTTCAGAAAGCAACTGTGCTGTCGAGCTATTTGCCTGCAGAACTCAAGGTAGTCCCTGCTCCACTGTTTTCCTGATGCACTGCGGGCAAACCCGACGGATGAACACACATCCCCAAGCAGTCGAAAGCCAGCTGCGCCGAGGACGTTTGAACATCCTGGCTAACATCCTTGGCAACGAGGCTTCCGTTCAGAACCTGTCCGTGGGTGCATAAGACTCACGAGTAAACCAAGCGAGATCTATGGGCGAAGTGCATGGGGCTCGGGCTCTCAGTGATACAAACGGCGCGACTCTAGACAGTTCGGAACCCGTAGACCCTTTAGCCATTCTTCGTAGCTGAGTGGAGACACTTTATACTTTTTGGGACAATATTGCTCACTATAAAACTGAAAGTGTGCACTGTTGGGGGCTTATGAACTCAGCAACTAAGCATTCAATCATCAGTCGATACCACGGAGGCGGGGGTCTCTCGCTGAGCTTGGAACTGTGGTAGGCGCGGACTCCGCTAGTCGCTAAGGCAAAGAGTTGAGCCAAATCTGCTGCGAGATGCGCGAGGACAGGCTGGGCACAGCGAAACCGCAGCTTTGCACTTCTAGAGAGGGCCCAGAGGGCCGCCGCATGCTTTGAGACTCAAGCTGACCATACTTGCGCTTGACATCTGCCAGGATCACAGTGACTTCCACGTGGGAGATGTGTGCCGCCCTCGGCCGTATGCAGTGAGCCATTGAAGATTGAAGGCTATGTGTGCTGGCCAGTGGCTGTCTCAGGAAGTACCACACGGGTTACGTGGGCGAGCTCCCGAATCTCGAGGCACCAATGACAAGCCCGGCTTCACGAAGTTTTGGCGGGCTCACGGCCCTAGGGCCAGGGACTCCGCCTCTTCAGGGCTCAGCAAGCATTCAGAATCCCACTGTAGCACTGGCTGTCCAACCCTGGCTCCCGCAGGCCTGGTGGCACAAGCGTTTCGGAGCATCCGATAGCGACCACATTGGCGAGAGCGTGCGCTCGCCGGCGCTTTGGGACTGCACTTTGCAGGTTTAGACGTAGAGGGGTTTGACGGGTTGAGCCCGCGGCTCAGGTCGTGACCATCACACCGAACCCCAGCCACTTGGAGATGGTGACACCCGTCGTGCTCGGCAAGGTCAGGGCACTCCAGGCAGGGCGGCAGGGCTCCTGGTGCCCGGCCCGGCGCAGACAGAGTTCAACAAATAGAAACGAGAGGAGTGAGAGGTAACTATGGGGAACTCACGGAAGGAGGATCCAGAGCTGGGGGAATTTGACAGTGATTAATTCACACAGGACCCGCCGACATGCCAACGACATGCGCGGACAAAAAATATCTTGGGGGTGCGGTTGTTCATCTCGGGGCGCGTTTTTGGCATGTCGGCGCGTGCGATCCCAAATCCTCGGGTCTTTCTGATAGCCACGACTTTTGGCAGGACCTTGCTGAAGCTTCGGATCGCGGCCTGCAGAGTGTCTTGGGGAAGCTGGGCGGCAAGCCCTGGGAGTCGAAGGGCTTTGATCCTGGTGCTTTTCGATCTCGGGCCGAACTTCGGCTTTTTCATCACGCAAAAGCACTTTGACAGGCGATGGCAATGCTGCATGGAGTTCCTGTGCGTAAGATCCGTGAATGCGCATGAACACGAGAGCGTGGCAACGATGGCCCCTGGCCCCATCCAAAGAAACCTGAAGCGACGGTGTGGTGTCAGCGTTCGACTTCCGCCCGCATCTCAGAAGTCCCTTACCGGGTGCAGAAGAACCTAAACCGGCTCAGACCAGCTTTGCTTGAAATCCCGATCACCGCTTTGTGTCTCTGTGCTTCCAAGGATCGTTTTGCACGGCGACGCCGCCTTCGCCGGCAGCGGCATGGCCTTCGAGGCACTCCAGTGGCCCGGCCCCGGCACCAGTGAAGAGCAGAGCGGAAGAAGCTTCAAACAGGTTGGCTCATCCGGCTGTCTCTATTTTCTAGTTGCCCTCTTCTTTTGGTCGTTTCCTCCGTGTGAGTAGCCTTGTGAGCCTCGGAGGGATTGGCACTTCTTTGTAGTGCAGATGACCCGCACCGAGGTTCGCGGAATTGCCTGGCTACGGCACCGGTGGCACCGTCCATGTGGCGACCAGACCAAGTTGCGATGTTTTCCGATCAATCAAGTGTTCGTGCAGCGGCAACATTACAGCCCCCGACAACAAGCTTGCTGTTCTGCCTGAATAGTAGCTCAGTTCACTGTTTCAGTGCTTGTGTGCAACCAGCTTCCCCTGCACAGTCCAGGTCCTCAACAACCAGGTCGGCTATACGACGACACCAAACGAGGCCTCTCGAAAAGTTGGGCGTTCTGCAGTCTGCACCACCGCGCAGCCTTTTCCGAGCCTTGCGAAGGGGCGATCAGCAGCTCACCCGAGTGACGTCGCGAAGGTTGCCTGGCATGTTCATTAAGATGGAGATGATTATGCAATTATCCGCATGAGATCATCCCTCCGTGTCCCTTTCAATTCTTGTTGTCGCTGCTGCCTCGGATGTGAGTTTCTAACGGAAGATCAACCTGGGACTCTGAAGAACCCGCCTTCACATGATCTATGATCGGGCCTGAGCTCCCCCCCAATGCTACTAGTACCCCCCCTTTGGCGTGGTGCCTTAGGTCTTGCGTGGGTTCTTGATCTCTTGATTTCGTGCCGGTTCGGGTGGTGGTTCTGCTGTTCGTGGCCGGCCCTCTCTGCAAGCTTAAGGCCCAAAGGTTGTGCTGGCTCCAGCATGGAGCCAAGCAGAGACTGTAATTGCGGCTGTAGCCACATTCGATTTCCCGGTACACACGCGTCCTGTGTGCGGACCGGAGCAGTGCAGCAAATTGCTGGTAGCATTGTAATCTTTATCTTATTGTCCTTGTCGCCATGCTAAAGGTGATGGTGTTCCCCTGATTCCGTTGTGGACAGTGCCCAGGCGAACCAGGCGAACCTCCCACACGAAGATAAAGACAATCATGCGGATCACAACTACATGGCAACTGCTGTTGCTGTGTCTGAGAGGCGCCGTTGCCCCGATCATGTCGAAGTTTGTGAGAGCGACACCACCACGTCCAATCCCAGCGACTGCTGGCATGTTATACATGGCGGTGAAGGGCTCGATCACTGTCACTACTGTCGCAGACAGCCCTAAGAGGGGACTTACCAGGCGGGGACGAGGTATCGTTTAGTTTCAACAGGAATTCGGGCCCAGGGCCTGCGTTGGAGTCTCCCAGGCTTTGGATCTCCCGATCATCCACGTCAACGCGGACGACGTCGAAGCTGCGGACCGCGCGTGCCCGCCTTGGTGGATGTCGCTTTGGGGCCTGAAGAGCCGAAGAGCCATAGAGTTAGGAGATGTTAGGAGTAGTGGCGTATAGCGATCAACCGGGCATTGAAGGATTTTGTCTCTCAAGCGGAGGTTTGGCTTGGCTGCCGAGTGGCGGGCGGACTTCCAGCGCGATGTTGTAATTGCACCTTGGACCAAGCGTTCCTGTGTTGGAAAACCCCGACTTCGCAAGTTAACCGGAGCGAACCAACGGACTCATCTTCGAAGTGGTGAAGCGGTAAAGCCGGCCGCCGCCTGTTCACACCTCCCAAGGATCTGGTGGGCTATCGCAGGCCAAGGGCCGCCGGGGCGTCACAGAGAGATGTCCAGAGTGCCTGCGGGCAGGTTCGGCCACAACGAGACAGATCGCCCAGATGTCTTTCACCCCCTCGCCTATGTGCCTGGGCATCGAAACTCGCATGGAAACTCACATCATGCTTAGGCTTAGACATTGCTTGAAGCCTTTCGGCCTTTTTCATGGTCAGCTGAAACGCACAGCAATGGATGAAGGCAGCAAAGGAAGGCTGCGCAGCTCTGCAGTTTCAAGACTTTCCTTGAATGCAGTTCAGGCCCGCGTGCGCGAGCATCCGGAGGCGCCGCCGGCAGGTCAATTTTGAGAGTCGAGCTTGTCTCCAAACCCCACCACTGACTGCTTATACTCATCTTGATGCTTTGAAACCATGGACAAAACAGAGATATTGGACACAACACCAGGACAGCGGCTACTCAACTTGTTCTGGGGAAGCATGTCAGAAAGCGCTTGCCTTGTCTGGCATACTGTATACTTGACTGTCTGGTAACGCCTCGGCAAGCATCTACTGCTTCAGACGAGGAAGACTAGCGCCCGCTGCCGAGCCTGGTCCTGGTAGGTTGCGAAGATCTACGCTGCCAAGTTGGTAAGCGAGGGTGTTCTCAGCGAGTCCGAGGTGGCCGAGCCCTGGCCTCCAGAGGAACTGAAGTTGCTCTGCCATGCTCTGCCCTCTTGCGATCAAAGCCTGCTTTGTATGAGTCGGCATGAGTGCTGAGCGGGTTTTTTCAGAGCATTAGAAGGACGTACGTTGCATGGCAACCTGTGTATGCTTCGTGTACAAAGCGACCTAGGAGATGCGCACAGCGATCTGGAACGAACTGGATGCTGAGTTCTTGGAGAAAGATCGGCGTCACCGCAGAAATTGGAAAGGTTTCGAAGCCGTAGATAGTGCTAAAGCTTGCAGTCTTGCCGAGAGGGCCCGAGCCTGAAGCCCGACCCTCAGAATCTGCGACTTAGGCACAAGAAAGACGGAATGGACTGGGTGCTCCGGAAGTACCGCGGCCGGATTGACGAGGGCCGGCGGCCGAAGCAGGCCCGGAACTGTAGGTTGCAGAGCCGGCCCCCAGACGACAGAAGTGCCATGGTAGGGTTCATGCATCACGACAATAAGCAAAACAACCACCTGGCTCGAAGCTCTTACGTGGCCACGGGCTTCTTCGCTTCACCGCTGCAGGTGAAGGGCGTGACAGGCGTGCCTTTGGAGACGCTGCACAGAATTGGCTGGGGGCCCTGGCTTGCCCCGGCTTTGGCAACCGCGAAGCTAAGAAAAAGTCAGCTTGGGACATTTGCTGCATTGCCTTATACAGGGATCTGTGCTTGCAGCTAAAGCTTGAGGCCATGCCATGACCGGCATCCCGGAGACCGTGACGTCCCACTCCGAGGCTTTCAGAAAGCCGAGAGAAGATGCGATGCCTCGCCGCCATCCCCTCCTCTCTGCCTCTTCGTCGCCAGGTCGAGAAGCTCCTCTCGAAGCGCTTTTTAGCAGCAAAGCTGAGTAACCCAACCACCACCGATTCCTGTGTTGCTTTCCGGAGCCTTGTGGTTGCATTCCGAGGCCGCGCCATGTTCGCTCCGGGGGGGCGCATCGACTTCGCGACTGCGGCACCTCGACCTGCATGCATCCAACCTGGAGTTGGAAACTGTGTTAGGATTGCTGAAGCCCAGAATCCAAGAACGATCCAACGCGACGCAGGATAGCGAAAGGAAATCTGTACAACGAAAGGTTGCCCTTGGCCTCCGAGGAACAGCTTGCGTTCTGCTCGATTTTGTTGCACCGCGACATTTGGGCCGGGAGCTGAGAAGGCGCTGAGACAGGAAAGTTCAAGTTCCAGGCGCTTCGCTTCCTAGGCCGGCGATGCAGGAGCCACCGGGAGCTGGGCCGTGGCCGGCAACGCCACGCGGTGGCAAACGGCAAACCGCCCCGGCGAGAAGTTTTGGTGCTAAGCATGTCTTTTGCACTCACTGTCGTAGAGAGTCTCATGCGGAGCCTTAGGAGAGGCTGCCGAATCGTAACGTCCGCCTGGCGGGCCAGGACTGCCCCAAAAGCCTCGCATAGCCTCGCTGCTCTGCTGAGCCGCCGTGTCGCTCAGCTGCTCCGTGCTGTGACCTGGGAGGACTGCGTGCGTGGCACCTTCAACCAGCGTCGCGGCTGCACCCCCAGAGTTCCGGTGGTCACTGTCCGGATACTTGTTCCTGGAAGAAGCAGCCGGAACTTCTAGTGGATCGCAAGCAGTCAGGCACGATCAATCTCATTCAACGACGGACCCGCCAAGCCGTAGCTTCCGCGGTTCTTTGCCTTCCCACGGCCTTTGTTTTGCAGATTTGCTTCCGTCAGGCGGCACCTCATCGTCCAGGTCTCTTGGAACTGATCACTGTGAGCGACAGCTGTGCCTGATCTGACTGGCTGTGAGTTCAAGCATTTCGAGACTTCAAGCTTCAGTGGTGCGTCCTGAACATCGGTTGTGTCTCCGTGCATCTTCTCGTCTGCTGGGGTGCTGGTGCGTCGTGCGATGTCATGCGTGCTTGCATGGCCCGGTTCACCGCTGCAAACCGCAAACCTCTCCCGGAAGCCCATGGGCCCGTCAGCCTTGAGCTTCACGAGGACTCCGTGAGGGGCGCTGGCGTGTCGCTGCTGCCCCAGGCCCTGGCGCCAGGAAATCAGGTGCGGATCGGAGGATCGAAGGGGGAAGGCTCCCCAAGAGGAAGGATTTCTTGTCGTTTTGTGCCAGACTTTTCAGGCGGGATGCGCCGAAAGAGAGAGAGAGAGAGAGAGAGGGAGAGACCCAGCAGCGTGTGGGAACAAGCAAGCAAGACCCAGCAGCTGTCGAGGGACCTACCAGGACTGTGGTTTGAGGGCGGTGTACTTATTACACTTACAAGTAACTTGTATTGAACTTAGCACATGAACTTTTAAGTGACTTATAAGTCCGATACAAGTCCACCGTAAGTCCAGTGACCGTCCAAACATTTATGTTTTTTCATTTAAGTTACTTAGCACCAAAAGCTATAGCAAAGGACACAAACTCAGCAGTTTTTCTCCCAGCTTAGGGCAAGTCTTCGTCTCCTGTCTCCACACGGTGTCTGCCGACCAGCCACGTGCCACCCAAACACTCAGTCGCCAACTTCAGCAATGGACCACTGACGGTTTTCCAGTCCACGTGCTGGCCAGTGGGCTTGTCCGTCGCGGTTTGAAAGAACTCAAGCTGCAGGTCCGGAGACAAGGTCTTGACCTTGTCCAAGCTGCCCAAGTTCCGCTGCACCGCTTTCTGCAGAGACTCGCAGTCTTTGCAAAGAAACCTTTTTCCGTGCACTCGGCCTGCAGCCTTGACTTGGCGGCAGAGAGCACACTCTGGGCCCACAGAGGGCTCTCTGCAAGCGAGAGCACCAGAGCCATGGCAGCGGACCGACTGGAGAGGCTTAAGGGAGGACGAGCTGGGAGCCGAAAACAAGAGGGCAAAGGAAGCATCTTTGCATTTCCTACGACGTGTGAGAGGAGAAGCAAGACGCGACTTTACGAAATCCAGGCATGCAGCCCAAAGCCCCGCGGACACCCCGCGGACACGGTCTTTTCCCGCGGACACTACCTGATCCCTGTTATCTCATAGATCCTTATATAAACTATGAGTGCGCGGACACCCCGCGGACACGGCCGCATATATCATGACGTCCGACCGCGGAGATTCACCGCGGACATACGCGGACACCCCGCGGACATGGTGAAAGTGCTGCGGGCACAGTTCCTCGACTTAGCATCGCAAAACTGCGGAGCTTTTGGATCCACCGCTCCCAAAGGGAGAGCCGAGCGGAGTGCGAGTCCTGCTCCGCTTGCAGAAGCTGCACCTGAAGGTGCGTGTGCCGAACGTTTGCATGCGGCACGCACCTCCTGAGCTGCAAACAGTTCGAACGCATTGATAAATACGTTCTATCCTCTGTGCGGCACCATGGCCGTTAGCACGGCCCATGCTCACAGCATGCTCTATACAGAAAAGCCAGCCGTCTTTCCTCAACACTGGCAGTGGGCTCGGTCAACACAGCCAGCAGCTGCGGAGACACGAACGATAGCATGCCGGTGTAATCCTGCATCGGTCGGCGTGCGACCCGGGGCTGCCACGGGATTCGCGGCGGCAGCTATGCCACCTATGCCAGCGACAACGCGTGTATGTATACTTAGACGGTTCCGCTGCTCCGAAGGAAATGATTTGAGCCAAAACACAGCAATGTTCAACGGCAAACGCAATATGCAGGAAAGCGGTTTGGTTGGCAGTATATAGCCCCCCAAAACACGATAAATTCATTAAAAAATAAATTCAATATAAGTCCGAGCTAAGTTCCAGCTCTCGTACTTAGCTTGCACTTATAACTTACGGCTAAGTCCAACACAAGTCTATAAATCTCGCAGAACTTATAAATCACTTATAACTAGGATATCCTACTTATGACTCAGATGTAAATTATTCACAACCTGGATATAGTGAAACCACCGTCCCGGTAGGACTTGCCTTAGAGGGCGCGGTGGCGAAGCCGGGACGCACTAGAAGTGAGTGGCGGGGGCGAACATCGCCGATTGGCACAAAAGTCCTGTTCCAGCGGAAAGGAGGAATGGGGGTGCCTCGGCACGGATCTCTTACGCAGGCCTTGCCCCAGTGGAAGGAAGGACGGAAGACCCAGCAGCGCAGCAAGGGGTCTCGACACCATGGCCTGGCAGGCTAGCAGCTAGCAGCTAGCAAGCAAGTTGTGATGTGTCCTGGTCCTGGGTAGCCATCTCCTTGCGAAAGTAGCTTGGGTAAGGGAGAAGCTGTCTCGTACATCGCCAGCGGCGGTGCTTGCATTGCGCCAAGGAAGAAGTTCCGAGATTTGCAAACCTTCTTTTCTATGCGTCAGAACAGTCCGAAGGGTCGTCGCAGCTTCAGGCATTGCTCGGAAGCGCTTGGGAGTTCGGCAGCCCCGTTATTTCGCCACCCGGCCGTTCTGCCAGGCGAACTTCTATGCATACAACAGCCCCTTGCATCTTGGCTGCGATTGCTTGTATTCTGCTCTACAATGCCGGTGTTGCAGAACCAGCTGGCCTCTCTATCTCGGAGACATAAAGGAAGTGTGCGCGCAGGCGCAGCACCGCAAGATCTGCAGGTCCGAAGCTGCAGCCCTCGCGTTCGAGTACGGCCGCTGGACTCCTCTCGGGAGGTTGAAGGCCAATATTTCTTGTGACAAGTGCTTCTGTTTAGTTTTGAATCGCTTCAAGCATGCGGCCAGAGGCCAGAGGGTCCCCACGTCAGCGAGTGTGGGGGAAAGGTTCCTTCGGCAGCCCAGGCTATTCTCTGGGTGACGAGGATGCCCTGGTTTGTTGGGAGGCGGGCGTTGTGCCGCGCCTTGCTTTCACAGTTCCGCGTTTTCACTTCAAGTGCTGTCCAGAGGGCCAAGGCCACAAGGCCAGGACTGGCATAGTGGAGCTGCAAGTCTCAGTTTATGTGAAAAACCTGCTGCTTGCTGGTGTTTGCGGCTGGTTGGAGAAAGAAGGTTCCATTTCAAGAATGCGGAGTTTTCCCCTCATGTTGCAAGAACAAGCTCTTATAGAGAGTGCAAGCATCTCGCTTTCACAATGTTTCTGGAAGTTCGATTGATGAGCGGTTCTTTTTGCAAGCTGTTCAGAAACGTTATCATTTATCTTCGCGCCCAGTTGGTCCATAAGTTCCGGAATTATGGCCGGCAGCTTTTCCGTTTCTGCTTCATGTGTGTGTGTGTTGTTTTACCCTCCCCCCCCCCCGTGGCATTGTTGCTGCCGCTCCATGTATGTTTGCTGTTTCGTTTCAGTTGAGGGTTCCGTCGTCGTCGATTTCGCTTCCGTTCAGCTCGAGACTATGAGTTGCCTGCAAGTCCGCAGTCAGCATTGTTACACCAAGAAGCCACCAGGGATTCCAACGTGGGGTTTCAGAGACACGGCCGCCACCCCGAAGCTTTCACAGGCCCAGTTTGGAGACTTCGCCAACTGCGCCCAGGCGGGATTAAGCCCGCCAAGCTCTAACCGCAAACCTCTTCAGCCTGCTGCCGAGGATGATTACTAGTAGCTGCTAGAGTATGCTGTAGCTTGCAGCGCTTTTGAGCGCAGAGCGCCTTGCAGAGGCCGTGATCGACGAGTTCATCGTCTCCGGGGAGCCTCGGCGGCCCGTGGCGGCGTGGCAGGGGGGGGGGGGGGGTCCGGGCAGTCTTGAGTCTTGTCTTTCTGGTCTCCATCCATGCACCATGGCACTCCTTTCTAAGGAGGAGAAGTGGGGCCAGGCTTCCCGGCTCACCTTGCTGCTCCCTCACGGCTACGTGGCTCGGCCGGAAGTGTCCTACTCGACGGATGGTCCCAGGGTGAGACTATTCAGCGCTGGCATCCCGAGGAATGTTAGATTAGTCTTGATCACCCCAAATCTCGTATTATGCATGCACACGGGGCGGAGCTGGCACCTGAGGATGGTCAGGGTCCAAACCACAGCAGCGCACGATTGGAGCGCTTCCTGTGCCGTGGCACTGCAAAATAATTTCCACGGGTTGCTACTGCGAGGCTTCAGAGCCTGAGCGGTGGCACCCGCTCGAACCCGAATATCCCGCACTCCACTGCCCGGCCCCCACAGCGTGGCCCATTTCGTCCCAGCCGCCAGCAAGGCAACTCACCAACGACGATCCGAACCATCTCCCTGGAAACTCCCCCGAGGACGGACCGGGACCGGGCGGGAAAGGGAAACGGGTAACTTGGGTTTCGGCCCTCGCACGTCTAGGAGCTGCGGGAGATCGAGCGTGCCTTCGAGATCCTCGATGCGGAGGGCGCCGGCATCCTGGAGGCTCGGAAGCCACGTCCACATCCGCAGCAGCTTGGCTCTTGGCCTCGGCGTGGCGTGGTGTCCACTCATGTGTCAAGATCTTCGATGACAGTTGCCGTGCCTCGTGGTGTCTTGGTTAATCATTCGCATGCAACCTTCAGAAGTTGTGCAATTTGGCAGAACCATGGACAAGCACGAGTCTGTCGAGTGAGAGCATTCGGTCCTGCATCACTGGGTGTGCTTTCGCCGGCGCTTCGACTTGCCCCTTTGGCAGGAGGGCGCCGTCAAAAGCTACATGGAGAGACTGCCGGCGTTTCAGTCGCGCGAGTTCGAAGACGAAGCTTGCTCTGTGCTAGAAAGCCAACATCGCCACAAGGCCGACTTGCAGAGCGAGATGATGTCGATCAGCTTTCAATAACTAGATTAGATCTTGAAAAAATGCTAAGCCGCTTAGCTCTTTTTTGGTCGTCGAGGCTGCTCGTAGAGAGGGCCCCCACTTAATTGGGACTTGGGAGATCGCTGAATAGACTGAGGAGTGGGAGCTTTGGCTACGAGTGGCCCGGAACATGAATCCGGAGGCCGCCGGTGGGGGGCCCCGCCGGTGGGGCCCGGGCCCGGGCCCGGGCGGCGGCTTTTCACTGCAGTGGCTCAATCGCTCAATCGAGGCAACGGGGATCACTCGCAGAGACTGGCGGATGATCATGCAACTCGGCCATCGTGTGGATTTCGGTCCATTCGCTTTTGCAGTCTCGAACACACTCCGCAGGATCGCGAGCTCGTAGTCCAGAAAGTCGCACCACGTCGGGTTTGGAAGGCTATGGTGGAACTCGTGATTTAGAATGAGTGGTTTGGTGGTGTTGTCCGGTTCCTGCTGCACCTGTGTTGGAGCCAGTGGCCCGAACAATTTCCAGGGTTCCTCTGGGGTCCCTCTGCCACAGCAGCTCTATGGTTTGCAGCCTAGTCATCTCGTCAGGCAGCAGCTCTATCGTCGCAATGCTGAGAAGGAGCGTTGGGCCCATTTGCATGCCCATGTGCATTTTGCCGCTGGACCTGGAAGGATGCTAACATTTTCGTGTTGAACGTGACTACTCCTGCGCAGTATTTCCATGCGGCTCGGCCAGGGCAGCCACAAAGGGTTTGGCTGGAAGACACGACTGCTGAGACCTGCGCGTGCGAAGAGTCGTGCATCACAGGTGCTGCGGCGCCAAGCCCATCGGCCCTTCATGAAGCCACTGGTGTCTGGGCTGAGAGCATTCCGGGGTGTCACGCTCAAAGACCTTAGGGCCTTGCGACCCGCCGACACTTCAAACCAAAGCAGTCGATGGGTCGTCAGAGTCGACGCAGCAGAACGGGCTTCCCCGGAGACTGTATCCAGCCCACTCCAAGTCGCGATGAGGTGCTAATGTCGCCCAAGTACCTGCTGCATCATGCGAAGGCCCATCTGCAGTGAGTGGCTAGCTGTAGTCCCCTATAGCTGATTCAATAGCTGCACTTCTTGACGACATAATGGCAGTTTGGGGATCTGGATATGGCCTTGTCTAGTTTCACTAGACAAAGAGAGAGCCCTGCTGAGAGCTGGACAGTCGGACATATCTAATGTGAGTGCATGTTTCTTGCTTGCCGTTGAGTTTGCCGACAATGCATCTTTCAAGCTTCCAGCACAGCTAGGAAGAGATTGCGACCATGTCAGATGGTCCACAAAGGATTCCGAACTGGGTGTCTCGTTTTCTGCAAGAGACAGAAGATGCGGACAGAGAGGAGCGACAGATTGCAAGGCTTCATGCTGAGGCTAGCCTGCAACGTGCCGAAATCAAAGGCATCATATTTAATGCCTGTCTTCATCAGTCTTCATTGTCAGTGCTTGGAAATCAAGAGCAACCGAAATTTTTGGCCACACAGGATATCGATGCGCATGGAAGTAGTGTTGATCTGGCCCCTTCTCCTCATCGTGTCCTAGCTGTGACCAGATCTCTATAACAGGCAACCACGATTCCAGGTCACCTTCGCACTCATCCTCATCCTCACCCCAGCTACGAGGATTCACTTTCTCGCGCGGCCGGACAAGTTGTAGTTGCTAAAACCTGTCCGACCACACCCTCTCGTTAGAGTGTGGAGCGCGATGGCTTGTTTGGCAGGCCACCTCGCCGTTGGAGGACTTTGGTGAGCAAAGCCACTTTATGCGGGCATCGTGGACTGCACTCAGCTGCTTGCAGTACAGTGGTGTATTTACCATGATTTGCGTTGAAGCTGTGTTGATCCGCTTCTGCAACAGTCCATGTCCATCTCACCTGCCGAAACTTGGACGTAACTCAAGTGTCGTCCCAAAGCCTTTGTTTGTGTCATTCTCGGTGCGAATGGCTCATTTGGATTTTGCTCACCGCCCAATGGAATGTGGAGGTCACCATGTTGTCAGAATTCTCAAATGCCCATCCAGGGGTGAGACTTGGAGATTGCTCGGTGCAAATGCAACAGCGGTAAGCATGCGCAAGGCGGCCGGGCCAACTCCGGATCGCCGGAAATTAAGCCAACATTCCGATTATGCTGGTGTGCAAATAGGTCGGCTCTTTGTTGGGGAGTGCATATCACACAGGCTGTGAGGGTGTCATGGGGCTCTCGCGGGTCGACGCCCCACCTAGCTTTGGGTCTGCTTCAAAGCCCCCAATACGCCTGCCGAATCACAGTGGTTCCTGAGGTGATTGTGGACTACAGCCCTTTTGGAAAGGAGTCTTTGTTCGAGCTTTCTTTTGAACTCTGGACACTCCTTGAGGATTGGGTCTGGCATGGCCTGTGGCATTCTGCACTGAGGCTTCGTAAGTCTGAGCTTTGTACCTGTCCCAGATTTTTCTAGCAATGTCGCGTAGACAGGGCCTAGCATCAGCTCCAACTCGAACTCGCCGGAGCCGGCGGAGCCGGAAGTCCAAGAACAAGCGAAGCCTTCATGTCTAAACTCGCGCCGCGAGGACTTCGCCAGCCGCTCAGACAACACCCGACATCTCAGCACCAGCAGGCCGCCACTCGCACTCTGGCTAGGGTGTACATACTCGTACTCTGGCTCTTTGGCTCTTGCGATGCTTCTCGCATAGCACGCACGGTTAGATGTTCAGGCTGGGAGCCAAGACTGGCTGGAGCCGAAAAGCCTCTCGAAAAGCGCCTTCGACAGGAGCGGGCGCCCGCTCACCGAGCCGCCGGAGGCAGCGAGAGAGAGAGAGAGAGAGAGCGACTTTTGTCGCGCACCGGGGCTAAAAACCCCCTTTTCTAACTCTTTCCTCCTGGACGGATGCACGTGTCTGGCTGGCGGGGAAACACCCCCTTTTCCCTTCATCTTCTTGACCGGGGACCCCGCCAGGTATGCTTTTCTTTCCACCCCCTCCAAAACGGTCGGGGGCGCACTAGCGCGCGGGGTAGGGGAGAACATCCTCTGCCCCATAGCCCTGGCGAAAGAAAGAGAGCGAGCGAGCGAGTGCACAAGAAGGCCCCGAGGACCGCCCGCAGAAGCCTCGGAGCCTGTGAAAGTGCATAAGTGCAGACACCGACATGCTCAGCTTGAGCGTCGGAGTGAAGCGCCGTTGCAGAGCTCGAGTCGAGGCCATTCGACGCGTCATTCTCTGCAGCGGCCAGGTCTACTACATGCTTTCGCCGCACGGTCCTGCAAGAGCACAGCACTTGCAGTCACCAAAGCCGCTGGCATGGCGCGCTTGCATGATGCCAGCGGCTAGCGGATGGTTCTCTGTGAGTTCCCGTGACGGCGATGCGCTGAGGCCCTCTGAAAAGGCCCGGCAGAGACCCCGAAACCCTGGCCAAACCATCTGACAGCAGGAAACCTGCGCACCCCTACCTGCAGCTACCTGCCATGAAATGCCACCTCAGCACGAGCACACACACACACACACACACCCAGGGGTCCGGAGCATGCCTCTTTCCGACCCATCCCTTGCACCATTCAGGAATGCTCGGCGGGCCAAGAAGATCAAAGACATCGTCCTCGTCCGCCTGGTGCCATGCCACAAGTTCCTTGAAAAATGCGCCGGAAAGTGGCGGCTCTATGAAGCACGAGGCCCTTCAGACCCTACAGCCACCGCACAGTATCCGATGTCCTGCTTTCGCTGAGCTCTCTTCGAAGTCACTGCGTTGCTGCCGTGTTTGGTCGTTTTTCGGGCTCTTGCCAATTGCGGCAGTTTAAGGAGCAGATTGCGCCGTTTCCCTACGACCGGATCATCAAAGCTCTTTCCTACTATCCGAACGCCAGTTGGCACAAGCAAGTGTCCATGCGGGATTTGCGTTTGGTTCAAACGCCAGATCGCGCACGTCGTTTTGCCACTGTTAGTTTGCTCGCGTCTCGAGCTGCTGTAATTACCTAACTTTGGTTCCAAAGCTATGTTTGGCTCGATGAATTCCTCCAGTTCGCGACAGCCGAGGCCGATGTCGTGTGGTGCCAGGCGACATGACAGATTGCGGCGTATTGCTCACTCATGTCATGCAAAGGGAGCACACAAGCTTTGGCATAGTGATCGCACTCAAGTGCATATTCCTGGAAGGCAGTGTCACGGCTATATGGTAATGTTCTGACCATCGTTGGCCATAAACTTGACATTGATTTCCAGGAGGAGCCAAAGAACATGGGAGCATGGTCCTATGTCTCGCCGAGGTGACGACATCCGGAGATAAGGATTTCGCGATCAAGCAGATAGTCTTGCACAGCATCCCTCAAACTGAAGCTAAACAGCAAGGTGGCAAGGAGCCACAAGGCATTCTAGAAAGTCACAAATTGCCAAGCCAAGCCTGGTTGCTCCGTTCCCAAACGCATCCGTCAAGGGTTCCGAGCTGCAGCGCAAATCCTTTCAGGGTCACGTGGTAGCCGCAGGCTAGCAGAGCACTCGTTCATGGTCGAGCACAGGTTCCCCGAATTCGAGCAGCATGGCTTCATGGCTTGGGTCGTGCAGGCAACGGCCCAACAGATGTTTGCCAGGCTGGCGACCTGTGTGGAGAGCGACGTGGCATTTGCTGCTTGGACATCGCAGTCAAAACCCCGGTTGCCAAGCTATTCAGCGTTTGGTCAATGGCAGCACGCAGACCGGAAGCAAATGTACGGATCCGACGCCCTTACGTGCTTTGGAAATGTGTCGACAAGTGCAGAAATGCTTGGAAAGGCGAGAAGGTGTTTTGAGCCTTTGGGATCCCGCTGCTGTGGAATCCGGAAAGACGAGCTCCACATCAGCGTTCGGACCCTGAGTTCCGAAGCGAAAGCCGCTGAGGTCGGGCGGCCGGTCAGTGCCGCACCTGCCACGGGGTCGGCGCAGATCCACCGCGAGGACGTGCAAGGGTACCTGGATGTACCGGACTATGACTTGCCCAAACTCTGCCGGGAGGAAACGCGGCTCATCCTCGACGCGGCCTTTGCCAGTTGAACCTGCGAGGAAAAGAACCTTCATGGCCTGCCGCGCAAGATCAGAAATAGACATGACTGGGAATGTGCCCAAACCCTGTTCCCGGTCGACGTGTGAATCGGGCCCATTTGCAGTCATTTGCATGGTGCTGACAGTTGAGCTTCGCAAGTTCCCGGCTTCCTATCTACACAGATGGAACCCAGTGCAGAGGTACTGCGCAGAGCACCAAGAAGTCCGAGGAACAATCAAGGCCAGTCTCGCACACGATGTCCGCTTCTTTGAAGGCTATATGGAACGCGAACAGCCGAGACCTGAACCGAAAAGAAACAACCATCCCTGCATCCTGCTTGAACTGAACCCTTGCGATTGAGACCACAGACCGCCTCGTGACAAAAACGAAAGCCAGAATCAGTTTCGCGTCCGACAGCCTCTGGAGCAAACACACTGCAGGACCCCCAAGTCGCGACCGACCACACCGCAGGCGAGGCTTTCGATCGTATGGCCCTGGGTATCAGGACCAAGAGGGTGTGCAAGGCCGATGCCATGTCATGGGTAGAAGAGGTCCCAGGTGCTCACAAGCCAGGAGGTCGCACCTAAGTTCTTTTGGTGCAAGAGTCAAGAGGTTTCGCAGGCAGGTTTCGGGATGTGCACAAGTGTTCCACTCGTAGCATGGAGTTTGGTGGTTCTTCTACGAATATGCTGGCACACAAACCCTCCCCACGAGCCCCAGGTGAACCAAACACCTCGGGACCAGCTGAAATCCGCGGCGAAGCGCGTGAAGGCATTGGGGTCTGGGGATGTCTGGGGTTCGGTTGTCAGCTCCGGTTTCGGAATGTTCGAAAGTGGAACGCTTCGTCTAGGAAGGCGGAAGCCCTCGCATCTGTTCAGAGCGGGGAGAGAGAGCTTGGACCTCATTCGGGCACCCCCAAAGGTTTCCTCAAACCGAAGCTGCGCATTTGAGTCTGCGCACTCCGAGCAGGATCGCCACGTCACGCTCCGGGTGAAGAACTTGCGCTCCACGGCCAGATCAGACATGCGGAGCTGCAACGCATAGACGGCCTGTCTCTCGTTAATTTTTTTTCACAGAAGGGCTTCTGCAATGTAATCCCGAAGCTGCATCCGCAAGATCTCGACAACCCGTGAAAAAGGTTTCATGGCCAGCCTCAACGAAGAGGCGCTGAGGACGCAGGCAGCCGGGCTGTCCTGGGTTTTGCGGTCTGTGCCTAGGACAACGGCCCCTGCCCCTGACGACTTGCTGCCTCCTCCTTGCCTCACGGCCTCTCTCTGAGGGTCGGCTTTGGGGGCTGCTCGAGCGCAGCGAAGGCGCCCTGCTGCCCGAGGCGGAGGGGAAGGGGGGGGGGGGGGGGGGGGGGATGTGGAAAACCCAACGTGTTCAAGCGACGGCACCGGCTGAGATTACCAACAGGCCGAGATGGCCAGCAGAGTGTTGCACCAAAAAAAAGGACCTAAGTTAGCACCGCTCGGCCCTCCGCTCAGATCTCGGTGACGCAGAAGAACGTGCTCTTCGACCTGGTGGCCCAGCTTCTGGACTTCGCACTCAGCGAGCACGGGCCCCGGGCCTCCCTAGCCCCCCTGGCCCCTCCGGTGTCGGCCGTGGTCTTTGTGGCTTTGTGGTGTGCTTTCAGGGCCGGGCGCCTCTCCGGCAACGCCTCGACCCCTCCTGCACTGGCCTCGAGACGTGGAGTCGAAGAGTGCCGACTGCAGCGCGGTCCGGGCGTGGCTTCGCGTGGCTTCGAGCTTCCTAGGCCCGGGTCTTGGAGCGGGCCTTGTCCTTCGCCCTGGCGCTGGAGCACGGGAAGGCGGGAGATCGACGCGCCGCAAAGGGCAAACGTGCAACAGTACTTTGAAGCGAACACTGATGCCATTGCTTCAGAGCTGTCGGGATCTGTCACAGACGCGAAGTGAGGGGCAGGAGTGTAGAGCCGCGAAAGCGACATGCTGCGAGGAGATTGCTGTGCCGGTGGACTCCCGCACGCAGGCGGACGGCACGGAGAGAGCCTTTTGCGCCGAATCTGCATCCCTTGTGTCTGGGGCCAGCCTGGTCACTGCAAGCGCAGCGCGAAGCCGGCATGCTCTTGCAGCCCCTGTCGCAGGCGCTCAAACTCGCCTCCTTGATTGACACGCAGCTCCTCTGTCAGGCCTGGGCCTGGGCTAGCGCCCAACCTCTCTTCCGCTCTCTCTTCGACAGGTGGTGACGGGACCCTTCCGCCGTCGACTTCTCGCCTTGGCACGGCGTCGGGCAGAGGGCGCCCAGTGCTGCACAGAGCGGTTTCAGTTCTTCGGGGGAAGCCCAGTCCTCGCCCGTGGATTCCCGAGGGAGCCTTTTGCCATGAACGTGCCGCCGCGGGCAGACTGCCCCAAGGTTATTCGGGCGGCGGCAGGAGCACAACATCTCTCAAGGCTCGGCCCCTGGCTGTTGTCGTGAAGGTCGCTGATACTGGCTTCCGCTAAATGAGCTTCGATCTTCAACTGGTCAGAAGTTGTACCACGAGAGAACTGTTACAAAACTGCATGGCAGTGCAGCGGTGCAACGTGTGTGGGTATCAGCTGATGGTTGGCGCGCGCGGGCTGCCTTGCGGACCTTTATGAATTGACTGCTGCGAGGCCCAAAGCAGAGAATTTACGGCCTGACCCAGACCTTTGACCTTTCGCAGCAGCTTTTGATGCTCCAGCTTTAGTCGTGAAAGTCGACCGCGAAGTACATTGCCGCCACGATGCCCCTCGGATCAGACGGAGGGCCTAAGGGACCTGAGGCCCCAAAGAGGCGAGCCGCTCAGACTCAGGTCCTTTTTCCGACGTCGGAGCTCGGCCTTGGTGTTTCTCGTTTTGGCGTTTCTGCGGGTGCCCACGTGCTGCTTTGGCGCTCGTGCGGCAGGCGGAGCCCCCGGAGCCTCCCTCCAAGACGCCCAATCGGCCGAAGCTCGGAGCCCGAGGCAGTGCCATGGAGCCCGACGAGACCGACAAGAAGCCTGGCGATCCGTGCGACTGCTACCAGCTCCCCGTCGAAGTTAGATTGGAGGTGCTGGGATAAGGCATCGACTGAGTTGCCGGCATAGGTATTCGGGATTCACCACGGACCAACGGGCACAGAACACCTGCTGTGGCAGCCTGGCAGCAACATTGGGTCAGCCCTCATGGTGCTTCCGTTCCACGGTTTGCTTGGGCGACATGTGCTGTGCTGTGATGTGGTTCGTTGTCTTGACGGGAGAGGAAGTAAACTGGTACCTTTGTAGCAGCTGGCACAGAGCATTCGGGATCCGGTGCTTGCGCCCAGTCGCCCGAAGCTGTCCAAGTCAGCCTGCAGACATCAACATAACATAGGTAATTTCAAGGCACGCTTAGGTCTTGGGCATGAAATCTTGGGAGGCACCGGCCTCATTTGCAGCGCAACTGCGAAGAAGTGCAAGCCCGCCGTGGGGGCTGATTGCCAAAGGCCAATCCGGGTGTCCCGGGTATGAACAAAGAGGGGACAAAAGCTCCCACTGCCGAGCCGAAGACATGACGCCGAACACCAGCCTGTTCTTAGCAGAGCTTCCGGTAGCTCCTAAAGCGGCATCGCCGCTACATTTCACACAGGGTATTCTGAAAGACACGTGTTGTTGCAAACAGGTCACGAGCAGGTAGTGTGCCGTTGTTTAACCAACAATAACACGGTCTGCTCTGGACAGTCCACCCATCAGAGATTTTGTTCTGAAGGCGAGATTGGAAGAACTTCGAGTTTGGGACAAACTGTGCTGTGAGCACATATGGACGATACAACGGCATCGGCTGTCAAGAAGCACCTTGCCTGCTTTAGCCAAACTGTAATGCGGGCACCGATTGTCATCTTTTGAAGATTCAAGCTAGTCCCTGTCACATGGGAAAGCCCTTGTACCTTGTGCACAACCCGGCAGGGGTCGGTTAAGCTGCTTGCCATTGCTTGCCCATCACGAGGCCGCTTCACTTGACCGAATGCCGTTTTGGTTCTTGTGTCCTGCCCAAGCTCAAAGCGATTCTATGCCTGGGCCCGTCACGCAGCCCAGGTAACCAAAAGCGATGGCGAAAAGGCAGCATCCGCTTGCAGTTTTGGAAGAGGGTGACTCCACGCCTAGAGGCTTGTGGATCTGGGAGTCATTTACCCGAATCCTGAGTTGTCTAGACAGTTTTGCAAATCAAAGACCAAGGACAAACACTTTGCAGCCTGATACAACATAAAGAGCCGAAGCCTGTCGCCTTCCACAAGAAGCGCGCAAGTACTTGTATCTCAAGCCAGTTCTCAAGCCCATGGCTCATAATAAAAGCTCGACCTCGATTTGGGGCCGCTGACAGGAGCACAAGTGCTGCGTTCAGAGCCTTGGAGGAGCGACTCAACCTGAGCCCTGGCCGAACCGGAGACCGACAGGGACGGCTTCATGGAGAGCAGGGGGGGAGTCCAAAACGCGCGCCGCATCCCGCAGAGCCCTTCAGAGTCAGCGTTTAGTGGCGTAAAGGGGGGGAGTCCAAAACGCGCGCCGCATCCTGCAAAGCCCTCTATAGTCAGCGTTAAGTGGGCGTTTACAGTTTTCCAAGCCTGTCTGTCTGTCCGTCCATCCGTCCGGCGGTCTGTCTGTCTGTGTGTCTGTTGTTGTGTAGTGCTGTGGTGCCGTGGGCGCGGAAATGAGGGAGGCAGAGGAGGAGGAGGAGGAGAAAAAGGACAGCGGAGAACGACAAAGAAAAGTACAATCCCCAGTCACATCCCGAGGACCACGCCTACCAGTACGCTGTCATCGACGGCGATGACAGCACTTGCTGTTCGGGCCACGCCGAGGACGTCAAGCCTGGCTCTTGGACAGCGAGACATGGCAATCATCACAGAATACTGAGATAATTACACTACCCGCATCAACGCGTGTCTTGCGTACGATATCCAGATATGTGCCGGTCACGACGTTCTTCATAATCTGCATCAGCATTATGAGTTCCGTATCAAGACCGTCATCAAAATCTGCAACAGTCCTTGGGTTCCCAACTAGGCTTCGGTGAAAGCTGTTCTTACTATTGCTGGAGATGTGTCAGCATGCGAAATTAACACACAGTCAACCTGACCACGCATTCAGAAACAAACGGTACGCAGCGTCCACAAAATCGGTTACGACTTCAACACAATGTCGTGGGTATAATATCCAGCTGACCAGATGCCAATATTGATGATTAACAGATTAACATTGAATCATTCGCAAACGTGTTGAGGGAACACAAGGCAATTGCGCGAACAACAGCTGGTACACAATCAAGTACGCGAGCATGCATAAAGAAATAGATCCAATATTCAAACGTGTGCTTACAAACTATCTACATGTTTTCATATATGCAGTGCGTAGGCATTGGCGGCATTTTCTTATTGGGAGCTGCCTGTATGCTAGCTGGCCCAACATCAGCACATGAGAATCAGACAACCTGTCACCACTACTGAATATCTCATCCCACGCTTTCTGCTTAGCTGGAGACCTAATTCAAACCATGCCAAAATTCGAGAGAATTCCAAGTGACCAAAACTTTGTTCAACGCCAGCATTGAGAGATGCTCCAAGAAAACAGGACAGACAGTTTTGCAGGTCTGGGAAATCGTAGAGTGTATTGAATGTTTGGACAGGTAAGAAGTTAGCACCCCCATTACAATAAAAGGGTCCCGTCCCGTCCAATCATCCATTCCCATTTTTCCATTCCGTTCAATTCATTCATTGTCTGATTCGCTCATTCAGTCATGCAGTCAGTCACACAGTCATTCAGTCATTCACTCACTCACTACTCAGAATGCATTAATTCCGTCCTTCGTGCATTCATTTATTGATAGCTCATTTGTTCGTCTACTTATTTGTAGATTCACTTGTTCATTCTTAGGTTTAACCATGTATCTTGCACACTCGCTATTTCTTGATCTCTCGATCTAGCTGTCCATCGTCCTACTACCACCTATCCATCGGTCGATCCGTCAAGCGTTTCATGACTTGGGGAACGGGCTCGCTGACGATGCCAAGTCTCCCGTTCTGGTCTGGAGCAGCTTCAAGCCGGAATGTAAGAACTCGAACATTCCAAGGCCGAACCCCTGTGTTTGAGCCAGGTGGCTCGAAATCGACAAGAAGTACAACGGCCGCTTCTGCACATCAAGTTCGACTTGGACCGAGTGGATAAAATCCAAAATGCGCTGAGCCAGCTCTTGACCTTGCCGAACGCGCTGAGGCAGCTTTTGACCTTGCCAAAAAAAGAGCGACAAGTGCGACGATTCGTGTCTGCGCCAACGAGTTGTTCTGAGAGTGCTCCTGGCGAGGTCCACAGCCTTCGGCGAAAGCATCAAATTACATTTCACTTTGCTCTTTGCCCAAGGCTTGGGAGGATGCAGCAAACGCCTGCTGCGAGCGCATCGCTTCCTGCATCCAGCAGGATGGAAAACTCTTTTAAGAGAGAGCTGCTATGTCTCTCTCGGCTCTCTCTTTGGGCTCTCTCTCTCTCTCTCTCTTTGGACAAGAGATCTGCAATCGGCTGCGCCTGCAGGCCGTTCTCGCGCGGCAGCCGCCGGATCCGTGAGAAGCGCTCCGCTCGGCTGCTCGGCTCAGGAGCGCCGCGGCGCCGAGCGGCGCGAGGATGCGAGGAGAGGCGGCGCATGCGGCGGCCGGCGGCCGCAAGGAATTCACTGCGGACTGCGCAGCGCCGAAACTAACTCCCCACTGCCCCCAGTCCAGAGTCTAAAGACCCGCAAAAGCAAGCCCAGGGCCCTTGGCTTCTGATTAAACTTGGCGCAGAGAGATGGTAGTCGGTCGGCGGCTGTCAGAATGCGTTGGTTGTACCGTTGTACCGTTCCGTGCTCGCGAAGCTTAGCCGCATTCGTATAAGGATCTAGGCTATTTAGGTTGAGTCAGACAGAGCCCTGCTTCGTCACGGCGAGCGTGGCTCCGCTGTTTCACTGCGTCTCACAAATCGGCCTCAGTACTGCAGAGTACAAGCACCTAGCATCCTGACCTCCGTGGGGATATGATATGGTTTGGCCTTCCATGGATCCCAGAAGCTGAGTTCCCCATCGGGCGGATCAGGCCCTGACTGCGTCCGATTAGGCCCTGAATTCACATCGGAGAATCTCTCCAAGAGCCTTGGGCCGCCCAGGCCCAGGCGAGGCTTGAGATACCCCGCCCTGACTGGAAGAGACGGACGGGGTCCGGGGTTGGAGCAGTCTCGTGTTTCTACACCCGCTAGGGGCCGGACGAGCCGCCGAGCAAGAGACAAAAGGCATCTTCAGGCCATTCTGAGTGGAAGTTGCCCAAAACGGTTGGAAAGATGCATCCTGTTGCATGAAGCGAGTAGGGAAATTTCCTGACATCTCTGGACTCTTCTTGGGTTCGCACTACAGATATCTTGTGTACCTGCATCCGAGGTGCATCCGAAAAACTC